TCATCATCATCATCACCACCACCTCAACCATCATCATCATCACCATCATCATCCTCATCACCATCATCACCACCATCATCATCACCACCACCATCATCATCATCATCATCATCATCATCATCACCACCATTAAAAAAACGACATTTATAACGTAAAGTTTAATTCTCTATGATGCCTTTAAAGTATCGTACTTTTTTATTTATCTATTTTATTTTTATTATTTTGTTTCCACTGGACAGTTTTCAAGATATTTTTTCCACTAAATGGAGTTCAATGTGATATGTTTTTATATCAAATAAATAAGAAAATAATCAGATAGCTCGCGCACGAGTACTGCAATTATTTTACAATATTAAGTAACACGCAAACAGATATGTGTAAGTTTATAATTTTATTCGATGTATTTTGGGGAAACGTCCGCATGTACGCAACGATTAGACTAAGTATTACTTCGTCTATGGTGAAGTTAAATCTGCATGCGTCCAGATTCATGCTAATTATCATGAAATATTTTTAAATTAATCAAAAGTAACATATAACGAAGTGGACTTAACTTACAAACCTCGTATATAACTACAAAAAGAGATCGTAACATGCAAAAATATCCTTTATTGCGTTAGTAACGCAGTATTTTTATTGGTGATAAACACTACTAAATCAGTCACTTATATATATTATGTATTTCTTTCTTTTTTTTTTTTTTTTTTTTTTTTTTTTTTTTTTGACTCTTGTTTTAAAATCCTAGTTTAAAATATTTGATTATAAAAAAACAATATTGTGGCCTATCTGGAGGTATGCAACTTTTTAAAGTGAAAAAGTGTACATCTGGTTAAATAATATTTATTTCTTTCTTTCAAGACTTTTTCCTCGCTTTAATCCAGAAGCATTCCGAAGTAATTTAAAACAGACCTGATTAACGCTTTGACCTAGCTTTTCCAAGAAATATGTTCGCAGATCCTGGTTTCGATAAAAAAAACACCACTCATTTCTAAGATTAAGTATAAATTGGTTAACTAGTACCTGGAATTCTAACCGGATATTCCGTATTGAATAACATAAATAAATACCTCATGACCTAAAGGTCGAACGCAGGATACGTTAAGTAGTTCAAAGTTTTCTTTGTTTGTTTTAAAGGGCACTGTGAAGGGTATTTTACATGTAGCTAGTTTGACATAAATCTTTAATTAGTAGGTATAAAGACCTCAATAGACATATGATGTACACTTTTCAAAGCAATACAACACTAAGTTGTGTTCAGACTGTAAATATATGCTTTTTAATCACCAGACTTCCCTCCAAAACTGAACGGATCCCTTAAATAATGTGTTCACGATTATAACTGTAATATGTGTAAATGTTATAATTATTATTGTTGAAAAATGAATGAATGAATGAATGATGAATAATTAAATAAATAAATGATAAATAAATAAATAAATAAATAAATTCTATTAATGCAGTTAATTGTCAGTTATCGCAAAACATATATATATATATATATATATATATATATATATATATATATAATTATGATATAAAACAAAACTAAGCAAGTACCCCCTAAAAATGAAAAAAAAATTTCTGTGAATTTTGAGAAAGAATACAATCTTGTTTTTCTACCTAATGAAGAATTTTAACCTTTGATTATGATCATGGAGGAAAAGCCTTATTCTTTAACATGTAATGATGTCCTTGTAAACATGTTCTTATCATTATGTTCTTGTAAACATGTTCTTAACATTATGTTCTTGTTATCATGTTCTTATCATTGTTCTTGTTATTATGTTATTGGTGTTATGTTATTATTATTATTTTTTTTATTATTATTCTTATTCTTATTATTATCATTATTATTATAATAATAATTATAATTATAATTATTATTATTATTATTATTATTATTATTATTATTATTATTATTATTATTATTATTATTATTATTATTATTATTATTATTATTATGTTCTTATAATAATTTTCTTATTATTCCGCTCTTGTAATAATATTTGTGTTTAAAAGTTTTTGTTATTATGTGTTTGTTATTATTTTGTTATAATTATGTTCTTATCATTACGTCCTTGTTTTTATATTTTTGTTATCATGTCCTTCTTATCATGTTCTAATTGTTATGATTTTATCCTTATATTCTTGTTTTTTATGCTTTTGTTATTATATTCTTGTTTAAATGCGCTTATTATTGTGTTCTTGTAATTAGGTTATTTATAATATACTTTTATTTTAATGTCTTTGTTATATAATATCTTATAATTATGTACTTATGTCCTTTTTATGCCCTTGTTTCTTACCCATTGTTATTATGTTCTTGTTGTTATGCCCTTTATAGTATGCCTTTGTTATTATATTATTGGTACTATGTTCTTGTTTTTATGCCTCTGTTGTTATGTTCTTTAATTATGTCCTTGTTGTTATGTACTATTTATTATTTCTCTGTTGTTATGTTCTTGTTATTATTTCTCTGTGGTATGTTCTTGTTATTATTTCTCTGTTGTATGTTTCTGTTGTTATGAACTTGCTATCATTTCTCTGTTGTTATGTTCGTGTTATTATGCCTCTGTTGTTATGTTCTTGTTATTATGCCTCTGTTGTTATGTTTTTTATTATTATGTCCTTGTAATTATGTTATTGTTATTATGCCCTTAAAAGAATTGCCTTTGTTATTATATTCTTGTAAATATATTATTTTTATTATGTACTTGTTAGTATTTTCTTGTTATTATGTTTTTGTTATTATGCTCTTATCATAGTTAATGCAGATAAGGATTACATTTACACCAAGAAATACTTTTTACTCCGTTAAATAACTTTTTATATTTTCATTAATGTGTTAGTTTTGTTTATGTTGTTGATAAATGTTCCACTACAACATTAAAAGTTGTTTGTATAGGATAAAGAGACAAATATGACAGAACAAATAATAACAGACCAGCAACATAAAATAGCAACATCGTGTATTTATAAAAAAAAAAAAAAAAAAAAACTTATTAGTACACTATATTTATGGATGACTACGTGGGAAATTGACACTTAAGCTTATTTCAAGCTACTGCTAGGGACATTGAGTTGCACAACATTTCTCACGTAAACCATAAAACGGCTCTCCACTTTCCCAGCAAACTTTTTCCGAAACGGATGAAATAATCATATTTGCTGTAACCCTAATCCAGCTAGATTTTTACAAAAGACTTGACAGGTTTCATCTTTTTAACTGTCAATTATCAATTTTGGGGATATCAAAATAAAAATTTGAAGTTGATCAAACAGCAGAATATAGACTGGTCGGACTGCACGGATGTTCATGTCTGGTTCTATATTTGTGACAAATGCTTATAAAAGACTGTATTTTTTAATGTTTTCGAATACATCTTATGTTTATTGCATTTTATTTAGACTAGTATTTTTAGTCACTGTTCAAATGTGCATTAATTGTGCCTTAAGCAAACTACAGTCAAACGTGTATTCAGCGACCACGCAAGGGAAACACCTACTGCAACTCTTAAAACAAAGCATAAGAAAAGTCAAAATTTATAAATGAGAGCTTTCCTTTGGGGTGGGGAAGTTTTTCAACATAAGTTCAACTACATTTATATTAATGTGTAATAATTATAACACTCCGATAATCTATATAGATGCTAAAATAAAATGAAATGACTGTCTGGTTAGTTTTGATTCGTTACGTAGAATTACATGTTTGATAGTTTTCCAGAATTTTTAAACTCATCTTTGTCCCCGACACTAACAATGTTAAGTGTATGGATGCTTTCTGTTGTGCATTTGTCACTTGTTTTAAAAAATAAACAAACTAAGTGTAATTGTAATGATTAATTTTATTAACGATTAACGATTAATCAAGTTCAAAGTGAATTCAATGCAGTCTCAATATCAACAGAGAAGAGTATACACCATTACAGTAGGGGCGGAGCGTGCTAGGTTCCATCGGTTTATTGGATAATACGCATCATCTAATTTCAGTTGCATACGCTTAAAGCTGTTTGGGAAATAGAATTTTTCACACATTAATATGTCGACATTTGAGTAGTTATCACGAGGCGGTAATCTCTAAAACGAAAAAAAAACCAGTTGTCGCCCAATGAAAAGATTGATCTTATTAGTGATCGCTGGTCGGGTTGAACAAAGGTCGCATAATACATTATAGATATTGAAAGAAACTGATCAGGGGGGTTACATTGGTCGCATAAGACAAAAGTCGATAAATGCACGTGGTCGCACGGGCATGTTACCAGATTATTTTATATATGAGTGCAAACATCCGTCGCTTCACGATTTGATGTCGTTAGTTCAATTTCCATATGCAAACGAACATGAATTGCGTAACGCGTGGCATTTAAGTTCATTGGAACTTATAGTTCTAAGAAGATATCTTTTTTACGTACATTGAAATGTTATAAATTCTGTTGTGTAGGATGGTAAGATATTTGTACGAAACTCGACACTAAAGCAAATCAATTGATGGATAATATTAAAATTACTACGTTTTAGTTGAATACAGCGCGTATCACATTTAATCGTACTAGACAACAAAACGAGCAATAAGGAGATGTAAATCCTTTTACTAAAGTGTGAAAATCATAGGTCAAAGTTCATTATTTACTTAACTTTGAAAATGTGTTTCAAAAATCAAAATCAGAACCTTTCTTAAATGCCTGAACAATATCCAGATGCAGTTTATTAAGAAATAAGTTTAGAAATTACTACTCATTTTGATTTTCATATCTAGAATGCAGGTAATTGTTGTTAGAATGTTAGATAGTCTACAATTACAAGCGCGGATTATAGTAGGGGGAAGGGTTATGTTTTAAAAGTGAAAATCGCGCACAGATTTTTAGTCGTGATCCTCTCTGGAAAACGAGTAAAAATGCTTACCCTCTCTGGAATATGCCTTACTACCTGACGAAATTTTATGACCCCCAGTCGGTAATATAAAACCTTTATCCGGGCCTGGTTGTTAAACCATTAACCCATTATACAGTTTTATAACATTCATATCTGGAGGAAACACCTTAAAGTTAGGCATAGGGTGATTATACTGTCAATTATGAATATCCGGTTTTCGTACGGGAAAAACAAACATATAAAAACTATGCAGTGTACACACGGAGAGTAACAGAAGGAATCGAAAGTTAAATGGTGGAGTAAGGAAAACATTCAAAATGATAATCTGTAAAAACTGGGCAATTGTCTTGCTTTTGTTATTGATAATTTACTTGGACGAGGCAGGGGCATACAGGAAGAGGACAGGCAGAAAATGTAAGCTTACTCTTATCTTCGAGGTTTTTTGTTCTGTTTATAGTTTTATTTACATCTTGTCATCATTCATAATCTCTCATTGTCAGTTCTTACAAGCATAATGTCAATGAATCAATTAGACTGTAAGCTAGTAATATTGCAATCTTAACGTGTAAATAGAATAATTTATAATAATATTTCACATTAGACACTAGGAAAGCTTAAACAGAAGAAACTGTGTTAAATAAATTAACTAGTTTTTAAATCGACTATTCGAAGGATAAATATAAAATCACTGTCTGGGATATCTCATTTTTTACATTTCTGTGTTACTTTCACTTTCTAGCGTTTCGGATATATATACTAAATCTTTAGCATAAGTCATTGTATAAAAATAATAAGCGCGAAACAGAAGCAACCATTTTGTTTGCGTATTGTACACGTATCTTTTAATCTCGTACATAACATTACATTGTATCATAGTTTGGGGACCTTTCTGTTGAAAAAGTGTCAGAGTTAAATCGTATACATATACATGCACAGTGCGGTAACTGGAGTGCGGGTATCAGTTACCCGCACTCCAGATAATGCCCGTTGATTGGTTCATTTTTGCTGGGGTTTACATATTGTGACGGCAGAGAAAGGAAAAGGGGCAGAAATATCATATTTAAATGCTCGTTCATTGGTTATTTTTTTTCTGGGGTTTCATATTATGACAACAGGGAACGTGCTGTCATGTTTGACTATGATACAAAGGAGAAAGAACACTAAAACACTCAACAATCTGATTTATACTCGGGGGCTACGCCCCCTCGTACAAATCAGATAGCCTCGTGTTTTGGTGCTCTTTCTATTACTTAATTGTTATAATTTTATTGATATTTGGGGCTTACTCGGCTTAGAAATTAATGTGGTTGTAATTCACACATTTGTCATTTACCACTGTTTGGGCATAGCAGGGAGATACCTTACGATCTTGTAGATTCTTATAAAATGCATGTTCGAATTAAAAAAAGTAATACCTAAAGGAGATAAGACACGGTTAACATAATAGGCACTCTCATTTACTTACCGTTGTTTGATCACTTTGAAGACATCAAATGAATTTCATGATTTTTTGAATTACAAGCAAAATGCGCAAAACCGAAAGAGGTGCAACATGCAGTACTGAGAGAGAAATACGCCAATAAAGAAAAGTTTAAAGAAGGAGATAAAGTAGAGTATGATTGTGAGCTTGGATACACGATAGAAGGTACAACAAGGGAAAGGTGGTGCAGAAATACTATTTGGACGGAAGTTCGCTTTACATGCAATCGTACGTAAAACCGCTGTTCTTAAAATATTTTTAAGTCTGTATTTTTAAACGATTTTTCAACAGCTGCTAACGTTTAACTGTTAGGAGATTGAATAGCAACACAACCTTTTCCTGTTTCGTGTGACACAGATTGAAAAACGGAACACTTTATAATGAGAATCATGTTACATACAAATTGTGTTATTTTTCTTTTGTGACATAAGAGCACAATAGTACAATTTTGATTTCCTACAAATATGAAGCTTTTATTGAAGCGGATTGCGAGTCAATCAGGTTCCTCTTAGTTGTATATAACAGCTGATGGATCCAATCTAAGAGAGGCAACTCTTCAATGTTCTTCTACAGTAATTGATTTGAGAGAGAATCAGTCAGGTTTTTTCTCCCTTGCTAATTTCATGAAACGCATCCAGATTTATTCTTTTTTCTATATGATACTTTAGATGTTTAAATTAGTAAATGTATTGTCATGTGCACATTGGCTTATCTATTTTGTTAGTAACTAGGAGTATTTTAGTGATAATACTAATAGATCAGTTTAAAGTTTGTCGTCAGCTTGTGTAATATCAATACGCTGTCCATCATAAATAGCAAAATTACATATAACATGTCAACATTTGCAGAATATGCTCTCATTTTCTTGGTAACAGGGTAGACGTTTGTTGATAAAATTTTGCTATATTGTACATACTTTTTTTAAAATTTGAATTATTATTTCCTTTGTGAAAAACAATATTGTCTTATATATGGATCTTTTTTCTAAATTAATTTTATTCGTAAATTTGGCGTTTCTAAAGAAAAATATATGTAGGTATATTTACTACATTTATAAACTTAAAATATTGTGAATATCACTCCAGTATACAACTTAAATCTAGAGAAAAATACATTATATACTATTTCATTTATTACACAGATATATTAATAAATTATCAATTTATTACAGAACTCTATAAATAAACTATTATATATTACTCAGCTGTATTTATAGAATTTAATGCTCACGGTGTAGGAACAGGTACAAGGTAATTTCAAACATGGCACTTGTCATTGACTTCTATTGATATTGACTGTCGGTGCTGTTTTGATTTTGTTCATGTCTTGTGTCGTTCTTATGTAAAAGTTGCAGTTTTGCAACGCTCTTCATGAACATATTGACTGAAGTGAAACAAGAAGAATAAGCACTGATCGATAGAAATCCCATTTGTAAACTCAAAACACGTCTAACTAAGTAACCTGCATCATTTTGCTTTTATTCACCATGTTATCCTATTAAAAGGTAAAAAGCGCCATTTCATCAACGGAAACGACAAAATAACAAATTTTAAGAAAAATCGGTTATTCTGGTTGTAACCCATACTAGCACAAAAGAAAGATTGTTCTTATTTTTTTTAGAAATAACATGTTCTTGGGTACCGCATCCCGATAACGGACGGCATCTTGATACCACTTACGCTGTAGGAGATGTAATGAAATTTGAGTGTAACACCGGTTATAAGTTAAAAGGGCGTGACAAAATCCTGTGCAGGATAGATGGTCAATGGAGTCCGCCACAGGGACCTACATGTGACCGTAAGTAGTAAGACTGTATACAATTCCCAAATGACTAACTTATACGTGAAATAAACTAAAATTATAAATGAGGTTTTATATTTAATTTTTTTTTATTGTAATGATTTTTTATCTTGTCTTTTAATAATAAAGTCAATGTAAGTACATATGTTTGTGATAAAAAAGCAAATGAAAATAACATTGTTTCGCATTGTAATGTATAAAAAGATGTTTCATAAATTAAAGGTAAAGGCCCCCAAATAAGTTTAAGTGGAGCGGTGGCCTAGTGGTTAAGGTGTCTGATTCTCAACCCAGAGATTATGTGTCCGAGCCTTACTCGGGTCACGACCATATGACACCAATACTGGTTGGTTTCAGGAATCGGACTCGAAAGTGATTTATATAATTTGTAAGAACTTGTTTTGCAATCGAATTCAAATAAATATGTTTAAAACCAACTAGTTCATAGTTTTTGTAAAGTGGATGACATTTTACTAATTTATCATAGCATTCGGTATCATAGCCACAAATGCCAACCCGAGAGCTGGTAAACCACCCCGAAGTGCAGACAAGGGGGTAAAACAACAGTTCAAAGGTTGACAATTCCATTATCACCCCGAAAGTCACGTGTTATTAATCTTATTTTACTGAGCACCACATAACTACAATACAAAAAGCTTACACAGAATTTTGGTTCCTTTCACAAATTTTAGCCCATAAACGGGTTACCAAATTTTCACGAATTCAACTTCACAAATTCAACTTCGTGAATTCACGATTTCAGCTTTACAAATAAAAATTTCCACTTCATTCATAAAGTCGTGAATATGTGAAGTTGAAATCATGAATTCATAAAGTTGAAGTTTTGAACTCATGAAGTTGAAATCGTGAATTCATGAAATTGAATTCGGAAAGTTGTAATCGTGAATATTCGTGAAGTTGGAGGCGTGAATTTGTGAATTTGAAATCGTGAAATCATGATGCTTAAATCGCAAATTCGTGAATTTCAATTCGGGAATTTCTTGAAGATGATATCGGAAATTTATGAAGTTTAAATGTCCCCACCGGACTTTCTTTTGAACCCGTTGACAAACTGTTGAAAGGAGTTATTTGTAATAGTCCAGACAGTTTCATCATTTTTGATATCACATACAAAACAGGAAAGGAATGCTATGAAACACAATCGATTAAACACATTCAGTTTGTACTTGTTGCTCTAATACAAAGAATTATTTCATGATGTGTCCAACTTTAACCTTCAATGTATATTCATCCGCCAGTCCTTCAGATAAACATTATTAATATTGATTTATTTACTAGTTGATTGTCTGATTTATTGTTTGTTTGATTTATTGATTACTTAAACGTTTGTTGTATTCAAAAAAATGTTCACACCTTTTACGTTTCTTTTGTTAGCAATACTATGTCCAACTCTACCTGAGATACAGCATGGCAGTATATTCCAAGATACAAGTGATGGCCTTGCAAATAACTATGAAAGCGTTGCTGAATACACCTGCGATCGGCGTAAGAACCTCTGCATTTTTGCCTTTGACTCGTATTTCTGAATGCAAAAACGATATAAGTGTGAATAGTGAAATATCAATATTCTCTCTTTCATAAAATGTTGTAAGTAATAGAAGGAGAATCGAAAACGAGGCTATCTGATTTGTACGAGGGGGCGTAGCCCCCGAGTATTATTCAGATTGCCGAGTGTTTTGATGTTCTTTCTCTTTTGTATCATAGTCAAACATAAAAACACTTTCCCTGAAGGAGCATCTAAATATGATATTTCTGTCGCATTCCCTTGCTTTGCCGTCACAAGAAATAAACCCCAGCAAAAATGAGCCAATCAATGGGCTGGCTCTGGTGTGCGGGTAACAAATGCCCGCACTCCAATTAACGCAAGGTGCATATATATATAACGATTAACTTGGACATATTTTCAACAGAACGGACCCAAAACTATGATACAAAATACAGATATATAACTTGTGTTCTCGATTTAAGCACATGACGAATACAAAAGTCTGTAAAAGTGATATAAGGAACGTTACAGATTTCATTATTAATTTGGGTAAAATATAGAGAAATAAGAATCCTCAAAGACCAACACGGCAAAATTGGAAATGTTGCAGGCTCGGTTTGATTGAGTCTGTTCATGGACGGTTCTGGTAAGTGCAAGTTACCGTCCACGCCCCCTAGCACTGATTTTTAGCACTATTCAACATTTAACATGAACTTGTCAAATTTAGAATTTTGAAAAAAATAAATAAATACAGAATCCCTAAAGAAGCCCAACACGGCAAAATTGAAATTTTTGCAGGCTCGGTTTGATTGAGCCTGTTCATGGACGGTACTGGAAAGTGCAAGCTACCGTCCACGCCCCCTAGCTCCGGCTTAAGCAGAATTCAACATTTAAACATGAAATAGTAAAATTTTGAATTTAGAAACATCCGCAGATGTGTTCATACGGCGGTTATCATTGAACCTTCAATGTGACACAGTAGTGCCATTCCATGAAAAGCGGCGTATGGTCTCCAAGTAATAAAAAGCGTGTGCCCTAAGCGAGAAAACAATGGGAAAAAATGGAATTTTAACGGGGATCAGAGTTTATGAAGCATGCGTATCACAGATAAGACGTCAAAAGACATTTTAAAAGCAGGCAACATATCCTAAGGGTTATTCAACATTATTCAAGTAGGAATATTGGAACAACCCAACTAGAAAATGCCGAAAAGTTGAAACTGAAAATACCACAAGCACAACATTATAGCACAACAATAATGTTGTGCTGAACGATCTTCAAGGATCTGCAGATGTGTTCATATGGCGATTTCATGGAATGGCACTAACGTGTCACATTTAAGGTTCCATGATAACCGCCATATAAACACGTCTGCTGATGTTTCAAAATTCCAAATTTTACTAGTTCATGTTAAATGTTGATCACTGCTTAAGCCGGTGCTAAGGGGCGTGGACGGTAGTTTTCACTTACAAGTATACAAGTATTCTTGTTTTTCTCTATTTTATCGTCACATCAGCGTTGTTTGTGCCGTGTGGAGGCTGTCAAAAGTCACCCCGTACATTCCATCAGGGATGTTATATTTCCGATCCTTAAAGATCGTTCTGCACGACATTATTGTTGTGCTTGTGGTATTTAAGTTCATTCTATTCGGCCTTTTCTTGCTGGATGGTTTCAGTATTCCTCACTTGAATACTGTTGAATCAACCTCCTAGGATATATGACCTGATTTTTAAATTTGTCTTTTGACTTCATATATGTCATATGCAGGCTTCATAACCAGGGCTGGGAATCAAAACTGCGTCGTATCCTACAAAATGTAAACAAACGCCGCCATCTTGGAACGAAAAAAGTATGTTTTTGTTTATAACTCTTTTTGTTGGAAAGGACTGAAAACCAGATATATGTATTAACACGCTCCACTATTTTCCGCTTCGTTCGGTACATGTTGCTTGCACAACTATTTTGTAAAACAAAAGTTATAGCAAACTTGCAACTCGAAGCGGAGCAGAATTTTTATGAAATTGTGTGGATACGACGCAGTTGATGTTGCTTTATCCATCGTTTCTTTCTTTAGATTAATTATATATTCGTTTCAGAGGTCACCATAAACTTCAAAATATCATTTTGCATCATTTACTAAAACTTCATTGAAAAGAATTGTTTATTTTCCATTAAAGATAATAAATTGTATGAAATGATACGACGCAGTTGAAAATAAAATATGATACGACGCAGTTGTATTTTCATTGCAAGCTGCATATTGGTTCAGCTATTAAATTATGTGTAAAGTATGCTAGTAACGTTCAGCAACATTTCTTGTTTGCGAAATTTTGATCATTATGAATGCGCACAAGTGACCTTGTATACAATTTAAGTAAAAAACAGAGGTCACTCATTGATTCCACGAAAATGGAAAATGTAATAAAAATTCTTTTAAGGCTTCATTTTTAGGTCGCATTTTAAGCACCTGTCATAAACATTACCCTGTATCAATCCGGATTAACCTTAGTTTTAAAAACAGAAAGAAATACAAATTCTGAAAACGGTCTCTTGCTTTCGGAAGAGAGGTACATTCGCAAATTGCGTGGCTTCCTATGTTACTCATAATATAATTTGAACAAATTAACGTTCATTTAAAGGAGGAATATAATTATACTTTATTTCAAATACCGATTTAAGTTTCAAATAATAAAGCTCATCTGTTCTCACCGATTATAAAGAAATGAATACAATAAAATCGGCGCGTAAAAGACAAGTAATAACGGATTTGGCGGAAATTGACGCTATATTTTTGCAAGTAGGGTTAGCGATTCGTTTTGTGTATGTTCAGCACCTTGGAACTTTGCCGCTGATTTTGTCGTATCGCCGATGAGAACAGGTCTACGGAATGATTTTTTTTTGAAAAATAATTAGATATTTGCACTATAGTATCATTCTTTTCCATTAAAAACTTTAAAATTTTAAAATCCAGTTACAAATGATAAAACTACAAGTTATTTTGTAAAGTAGGTGTCCGTTTTGCAAAGGTATTTTACGCTTTGCACCGATAAATTTGATACAGATATAATTATGCGCGATATGATGTTTCAACATTATTAAAGAAGTTATCCCTATATTGATTTAAAGCCAGAATTAGAAAAATTAAGGTCAGAATATCATATCAAATTTTCCACAGACTAGAGGCGTGGCATCTTCACATATCTTCATGCTAAAATGTGATTTTTATTTGATAATGAATTGCCTAACACATAAAATAAAAAAAAAAAATCAGAAAATGACTTCAAAAAGGATTACACCCTGTTTACATCTTAAAACGTCATGCCAGAAGTTTATAAATAAAACTTCTTATTTGTACAGCTGACAATCAAGACCATGGTTAACATTTTTTTTTTGGACAAAAATCAGACAGATGTGTCCGACCGAGGCCGAGCTGTTTATGTTTACTGACTTAAAATCACTTGCACTAAACTGCTGTGAATTCGAAAACCACCAGGGACTTTTGATTCTTTCGTGTTGAAAACTTATCAAGCTAGATTCAAAATGTCGATGGTTCTCTGCAGGTGCAACATTTTGCCTGAAATAATGCAAAACAAAACCCCACCTGAGGTCCTTGTCCCCAGTAAAGCTATATGTGGAGTGAAAGTTTAAAATAAAACCACACAGAAAGTCATTACCTAGAACATACAGAACCACAGTTTACTAAGAGCGTAGCTAGCCAAACTTTTTTTAGATTCAAGTTCATAGACTGTTATATTATGCCAAACACAGGGATACTAATGAACATACATGAAAATATAAGAAATCATTTTAGATAATATGACAAATTAAGTAACATGCTCATGTTTAACGGAAAAGAAGCTTCCGCAATGTAAACTTTCAAATTAAATGTTATATTGGACATGACACAATGTTATCTAAATAATCAAAAGCATTGCTATAAACCGCGAATGATCTGGGCTTTTTATCTAGCGCAAGTGATTATTCGGTAAAATAGACATAATTATATTGCCAAAATTATCCATGTTGAAAAGACTGCCAAACAATACAACTGCGTCGTATCATATATTATTTTTAACTGTGTCGTATCATTTCGTACAAATCGTTATTTTCTTGGAAATTAAACATTTCTTTTCAATGAAATTTTAGTAAATGATGCAAAATTACATTTTGTGGTTTATTGTAAACTCTAAAATGAGTATATATTTGATTTGAAGGAAAAAACGATGGATAAAGCAACATGAACTGCGTCGTATCCACAAAATTTCATAACAGTTCTGTCCCGCTTCGAGTTGCAAGTTCGCTATAACTTTTGTTTTACAAAAAAGTTGTACAAACAACATATTCCGAAAGAAGCGGAAAATAGTGGAGCGTGTTAATACATATATCTTGTCTTTCAGTTATTTCCAACAAAAAGAGTTATAAACAAAAACATACCTTTTTCGTTCCAAGATGGCGGCGTTTGTTTACATTTTGTAGGGTACGACGCAGCTTTGATTCCCAGGCCTGATAACCTCTGATCCCTTTTCAAATTTCATTTTTATTTAGTTTCGCCCACTGTTTTTTCACGTTTAGGGCACACGCAGTATTTTACTTGGGGACCATATGCGACTTTTCATGGAGTCATATTGAAGGTTCCATGATTACCGCCATATGAACACATCTGCGGTTTCAAAATTACTAATTTTACAATATGATAAATAAGACCAACAAAAAAGGCGGCATTCAATGAACGCAACCCCCACCCGACCCAGTAACAAGTTTGTGGTCGATCCCTCGGTCCGTTGTAGATTTCTTGTCCTGGACATAACTAAGAACGTACAGGAAACATCAGCTTCAACTTTTGTAAATAGATACATCTGAATGAGTAAAAGGACATAAGAACAATACCCCCATTCCCCTAATCTAAGAGTAATAACCTTTTGCAAATTCTTACGCGTTGGACATTTTTCCGGGACATTACTTGAGAATTATAAAAGGAATCAACTTAAAGCATTGTACATAGATATATTTTTCTGAGAAGATGTGCAGTGCAAAGAACTGTAACTCTGCCTTACCTTATGTTGGAGTTTGTTCATTTTTACACTTTTAACTTAATCCGGAACATAACTTGAGAACTATAAAAGAAATCAACTTAAAACATTGTAGATAGATATATTTTACTGAAAAGAAGTGCAGTGCAAAAGAACCATCACTCTGCCTTACCTAATGTTGGAGTTATTGCCATTTGTTCATTTTTACACTTTTAACTTGGTCCGGAACATAACTTGAGAACTATCAAAGGTATCAGCTTAAAACATTGATTTTTACTGAGTAAAAGTGCAATGAGTAAGAACCGTTACACTTCCATCCCAAATTTTGGAGTAATCACCCCTTGTTCATTTTTACACTGGAACATTACTGGAGAACTTTAAAAGGTAAAGACTTAAAACTTTTGTAGGTAGAAAGATCTAACTGAGTAGAAGTGCAGTACATAAGAACTGTACATAACCTTCTGTTCCTTAATTTTTGAGTAAATCTTCTTTATTCATTTTACACATTTAACATTTCCCGCGACAAAACACAAGAACTACAAATGTATATAAAGTGTTTCCGCTTAATAAATACTCTTGGACCAGTCGCTTTCCCGGTGACTTTATATTGAAACTTTATCTTTCTATTTTTGACATTTCAAAGACTATTACCTGAACGGCAATACACAACTTAAAACAGTTAAAAGAACGTGTCAGTCTGATGGAAAATGGAGTGGCAAAGAACCAATTTGTGAAGGTAAATTTCAATAGCTTTGAATGTATTTTTATATAGTGTATATGAAGAATCTTAGACGTGAATGTCAAAATTAAGTACTGAAAGTAGTCAACTTTATCGATTGATATTTACTCACAACTTGGTACACGTTCAGAAAACTTTCGAAAGCTTACATTAATAATTACGTTAAATTGTTTTGCGTATCACATTTCAGTGCCAAAATGCAATTTGATAGAGGATTTTTATGGAGGTAGTGTAGAATACTTTGGCAAAAGGGATCTCTACTCGCAAGCATTTTACAGGTAACGTGAATAAACAACGGATTGATATTTATCACTAAGATATTTCTGGTTTGTAAATCAGTTATTTCATTTGCAGAGTAAAGCAGTATGGCTTGCTTAGAAGTTTAGATAAAAATGTGCTTAATAAATTGATACAGTTTTTCATAAAAATCCATATAAATTTCACCAATTTTCATAAGATGCCTTTTTTTATCTGAATCCGTAGAGGTGTATAAAGCATTCTGTCTTCTTGGAAGTAAATTGGCTGTCATGTGTCGCTTGCATATTCTAAACTCTGATTAGAAATATCCAAGCTATATGCTCATGATACACATCAAAGACGGTGCCAAATGATGTCAACAGTAAATGTACAAAATCAACCTTGATAGGTGTTTTCTATAAAAGTTGAATATTCGAAGCACTAATCGGGTTTTCTTCATGTTCTTGGTTTGTGATCGATATTTATTAAATTCGTTGCATATTTTTGTGAAAAAGTAAAACCTAATGCATAAATATTCACAAAGTTATGCCATGTCTAAAATGTTAGACTGTTGCGACAAAGTTTGAAAAGTCTGGTCGAAGCAATTTAAATTGGATAACAAGTAAATACAAATGGTTGGTATATTTAACATAAGTATAAGACAAAGACAGAGCTAAAGAAAAGTATCTCCGTTGCGACGAGAATATGTCCATTTAAATATTGGAGCTAATTGCATAATGTTCGAATGATTCTGAGGACGAACTGTTCTGTTATTTAAGAAATAGCAAAAATAAGTTTGTAATATCAAATAATAATTATGATGAAATTGCTATATATAAACAATTTTTAGTTACGTGTTGTTTATCTATTTATAAAAATTAAATTACTTGATTAAAGACAAGATTGCATTTTGGCCTGGAATTTATTTAGGGGTATTTGTCATAGCCATTCTTCCCTGTCCGAATTTGGTTTTCATCATTAGACTATAGACTGGCCGATTAGATAATGACATAAAGAATATGACATTCAAACATGGCACTATCACTTTAGTTAAACGTTTATTTTAAATCCTTGTAGGTCGGTGACATGTTGTACATCAGAACAGATATTTTTATAAGAAAATTTTAAACAGTATGATTTTCTTAAAACAAAAAAAACAAAACAACAACAAAAACACATAGGCAAGACTAAATTTTCCCCCCATTGCATACACATTGCATGCATGTCAACTAGACGCTGAGTGCACGCGGCATATATTCAGTTATGTAGCGATCATTATTTTACGTGTTATCGGTTTTGATATGTTGCTTTGAAAATAAAAACTTCTGTCTCAAATATTTGATAATTCATCATCGTGAACAGCTTGATGTTTTTTTTTCAAAATGTCGAATTATACGCGGTGTGCATCTTAATGTGAATTAGGACACTTTAGATTTCAAATGAAGATTATTCAAGATCGGCTTTCAAATTAATCCGATTTTAACTTGTTGAAAAAAATGAGTGTGAAACATGCAGAATGTCGAATAAAAACAGTCAAACAAAATATCCATTTTGTTTAATTATTGAAGTCTCCGTACTTGACTCATTTGGTTTATATTTCAGTTGTGACGAAAATTACTCTATGATACCAAGCAATGTTCAGCATTCTACGTGTGAAAATAATCTACGATGGGAACCCCCACCTCCAAAGTGCTTCAGTCAGTAGATTTTACAAATAATTTTAAATTCTCAGTTTATCAAATTTGAATAGATATGCTTAATATCAATTAATTGTGATGTCGCCAAATCTTAAATGTCCAAATATGTATCTTTCTTTCAAGTGCTTGGAAGCACAATATATCTTTTATGATCGAATTATTACATACTTAAAATATTACATTAATACTTTACACTGTATAATATATATTCTTTTACCTTAGAAAAAGTCGACAGAGATGTTCCAAATAATGGGACTTTGAGGGGACGGAAACGAGGCAAAGTCTTGCACAATGAATCATACAGGATCTGCTGCAACAAAGGCTTTGAAGTTGAAAGAGATGGCATTGTACCAGTTTACAAGGACTCATGTACAAATACCCGGAACAACAATGGCACACTGGAGCCGAGGGTGGAATGTGTAGAAGGTTTATTCTATTTTTGTGTCAGATTTACTCATATTCAGTTTCATAACATCATCTCATCGATGCAAGATTAATACGTAATTACACAATGAGACCATGATACAAATGGTTACGTCACGCACATAAGCACTCATGATGTTAGCTTTTCGTAAGTGAAATAAACTTCTAAATAACTCTACACCAACCCTAATATATACGTATAATGAGACTGTTTCTTAATGTATTTCTACAGTTAATTGAATTTTGAAACGTTTAATGTATGTGCTCTATAATCGTTTAGTCAAAATTCTGCGATACTTTTTCGAATCCTAAAGGTTATTGTACTGTATTCAAGTAGGAAAACTAGAACAACATACAAATAGAAGAACTAAAGTACCAGAAACATGTATATTATACAACAGTAAAGTCGTACTGAACGATCTTCAATACTTCCTTTTAGCTATTCTTATCCTTGTCTACTACTCATAATAGTGCATGTAGTGTTCAATCTGTGAAATCTAACTTTACTTGCAAAAACAAATGCATCATACAGTTTAGAGAAAAACATTATTTAATAATCAATTTTATTATATCGAAGGACAGACGTTGATCATAATATTTGCTTTGAATTTTCGAACGGTGTAACCCAATCGACTTAGATAATGCTGATGCAGAATACGAAAACAAAACTAAAGTAGATCAAACTACAAAAATCAAAAGTGGAACATATATTTATGTCTCCTGTTGGCATGGTTTTGCATTTTACGATGACAACGGCCAAGCTCTTGAAACTTCACAGAAATTACAGTGTATAAAGGGAACGATTGAAGATGCTCCGAAATGCCAAGAAGGTCTTACATTATTTTTCTAGTATATTATTATTGTTATTGTTACAATATACGCCAAAACGTCATGTACCATATCTTTGACGTTGTCAGTAAAAATGACTTCATTTAAACCATATTTATATTTACAATCACAATTCAAACGTCACATGTTAATGAAATACTCACATTAAAACTATGCCGTCGGAATGTCTCGAAAATCGATTAATATGAAAAATTTGTCAAATGTAAGACGAGAAACTGTTTAAAATGTAGAAAAAGATTATGGCTATCAAGGGAAAAGTTCCAGAAAGCCACAGCATATTTTTTGATTAGCTTAAAGGATTAAGAAAGGATGATAGAGAAATAGAAAACAAGTAAGGGAGAGACAGAAAAAAGACATTTTCAAGGACGTTTGTGACGTCAATCGCCAAGACGTTGAAAAATGACAGTCGATTGACTGCGGACATTGTCAACGATGTTCGACAGTCACTAAGGAAGGGTGCATTCAACTCTGAGGATTTAAAATGATAATAGTTAATGCATTAATTACATGTAATGTATTCTTGGTTTACAATTGGTATCAATTATTTTCTTTTGTTTACGCAATAGTCTTATGGAGAAATTGTGTCAACAATTTAACAGTCACTGTTCAAATTGGCTATGCGTTTTATTTATTTTAAAATAATGACAATTTTGATCATAGTTGTATTATTCTGTTATTTTTTCGTATGTAATGAAACATTATAATTCAGCAACATTATTTTACATTATTTGTAATACATAAAATAGTTAATTGCATGTGCGATTTTTTCAACAATCAAGTTACAGAAGGAAACAACGGAAGTTTGCGTCATTACAGGGGCTCTTCATCACCATTCATTCTATAACAATACAATATAATACCCACTTGTACAGAAATATATATAGGCAGGGGATCCGCCGCATCAATAACATGACTGTACCACATATTGGCCTACTCCGTGAATGAGTAAAAATCTGCTCCGTTAAGGACAATACGCTTGTGACGTCGTTAACGTCAATTTTAAAGTTATACCGTGCGCCGCATTGCTTTACATGTGCATGCCAATAACAGCATAACTTTTTTCTTTGTTAATATTTCTTGTTGGTATTTTTTGTATCATTTAGGGGATAGATTCCGATTTATTTTCCGTGCATTGTTATGTAAATTCATTTAACAGGTTAAGAATCATTTATAAAGTCCGGTTAATTTTTGATCATCCCTCGTATATCTCACCAAAAGATGTGCACTGCACAAGAATAAAAACTTTACCCTTCATACTTTTTGAGTTATTGTCCTTCAATATTTTCATACTTAATGTTTTACCTCATTGGAGCATAACTCAAAAGGTATTTGAGATTTCAACATGAAACTTCATAGTTGGATAGCTCTTATTTAAGACGAATGCTATGCGCAAGAATGATAACTCGACACTTTATAATTTTTGAGATATTGACCTTTGTTATTTTTTATACTTAACTGAAAAAGTGTTAGAGGTATCAACTTGAAACTTCCTGTGAATCAGGTGAATAGGTCTCATTGAGGAGGAGTGCCGCACACAATAATGACCCACCCTGCATTACCCTTTGTTAATTTTCATACTTAATTTTTGTTCAGAGCATAACTCAAAAAAATCTTTGAGATGTCAACCTGAAACTTCTTAGGTACATAGGTCTTACTGAGAAGGAATGCTATGCACAAGAATGAAAACTCTACACTTTATAACTTTTAGTGTATGTCCTTTTTGTTTTTCATAGCTTTTGTCCGGAGCTCACAATAACCTTAACATTTGATCTTGATATCTGGAAAAAAGGGAATTGGTATTCACATATGTTTCAAATCTGTTATCACTTCAGCCATCAGTTTTAATTACCAATAGACCTCTTAAAATTGAACTATTCTGCTCTACTACATATACATTTCTTCCAAGAAGCAAACACATTCGGAGGGAGATGGCCTTGTTAACATTGCTCTTGTTGGGACCTGTAATGATTATTGCAGAAATACAAAAACAATATAAACCTAAGTGAACGGACCTTAGAAATTCTAACTTTGTGTGTAGATTTACCTTAGTTAGCTTCGACACTTGTGCTCCGGTCAAACGATGAAAGTTCATGATCACTTAGATTTGTAATAACAAAACATTAAGCTGCAAGTAATGCAAAGTGTTTGGTACTAGGAACCTGTTATGAAATCACCGGTCAGAAATTCGCACCCCTACCCTCAGTTTCATCTTGTATTTTAATTACATTTCCGATATTGTCTCAAAATCTTTTTTGTCAATCGACACAATAGAAATTATTCTCCACGATGATGGTCATTTTTTTTTTAATTTTAACACCAAAATCCTACACGAAACAGGCGAAATAAACAAAAAAAATATTGCAGTTTACAATATTTACAAAATCTTTCGAAAAATCCAAATGTGGCTGTCAGCTTTGCCGTATCCAAATGTGCCGCGCTTTGAATATGGGAACCACATTTTACCAAATGTCTCAGACTCAAGCCAGACTGGTTCATACCTTGAAAGCGCAAAGCATAACAATACAGCAAAGCTGGGAATCACGTTTTAATTTGATTTGTCGAAAGGTTTTGTAAATAGAGTGAACAGTTCATGGGAATAGAACCCTGTACACGTAAAACGGACCATATAATAAAGTTTATTGACCTAGGAAATTGCAACTGGGTAAATTGACCTTCACTGGTATTTTAAAGCCCATTCCTTTGTTTTCACCAGAAGGTAAAATGTCAAAGGACCTAGGACCTGTCATACTAAAACCATTAATTGACTATCTTGACATAAGAATTTGAAAAATTGTTTTGTGTATATACCCCGAAGAGATCTTCATGTCAATCGCAGTTTTAAATCAAAGAGTCAATGGTGAAATCAATTGGACTTGTAATAACAAAATATTAAACTAGCCTTTCAGTCAGATGCATGAGCATTGACAAAGTGAACTTTGCACGTAGATATTTGTGTCTGTTTACTTTAGGCATAACATTTAAAGTTTAGAGTCAGTATGAGCTATGTTTATTGTATGGATTAAGTTTCTGTGACTGGCTAGTTGCTTTAATTATGAACAGGATATTTGATTGAGGAAATTCTTCCACATGCTTTTGTATCACCAGGTCAATGTCTGCATGAATTTTACTTTGAATAACACTAATGGTTAGAAAAAAATCAGTTAACTGGAAAATAATGAAACGTGCGTCTTTTTGGACAGCTCTTGCTTCTATTCCTTTTACATATCTTTTAACATACATAGTAGAAATTATTGTAACAACGCCTTTTGAGAAAATAGAAGAGAAAAAGAAAACGAAAATATGACCATATAAAAATAAGAAACCCTTTTTAAAAGTGGTGAGCACTGGTCTTAAGAGAGCACTTATTAAATGTTAATGTCGCTCCATTTTAAACCTGTAACAGCATTCAGTATCCTAATTTTTAGGAAATAAGAAGGGATTATATCATATTCATCTTTTTTTCCGATCGACATACACTGATCATAAATTTGCATTGTACTTCAGGACGATGTGATCCAAACGACTTGGACAAGGCTTATGCAGAATATGAAAACAAAACCAAAGTAGAACTGTCAACAAAAATCCAGAGTAGAACAAATATTAATATTTTCTGTCAACATGGTTTTGCGTTTTACGATGAAAACGGCCAAGGTACAGAAACTTCGCAGAAAAGGCAGTGTATAATGGGAACGATTGTAGATGCTCCGAAATGCCAAGAAGGTATGCATTTACACTTTATTGAAGTCTGAATTTATTCCTCTATTTTTTGTGCCCCCACTTTAGGGTGGGGGACATTAAGATTTACCCTTGTCTGTCTGTCCGTCATTCTGTCCGTCCGTTCTCTTTTGTGTCGCACGTAGCTCATAAAGTATTTGCTCTAGAGTCATGATACTTAACAGGAATGTTGATCAGAATGTGTAGTTTAGCATCTGGGTATTTTCTTGTGGATATATTTAGTATTTTAAGAGTTGGCTCCCTTGGCTTAGTTAACATTTACAATTTTCAACTTGTGTCGCACGTAACTTAAAAGTGTTTGACCTACTGTCGTGAAACTTTACAGGAATGCTGATTAGCATGTGTAGTTGTGCACTTGGCGTTTCGCTTGTAGATTTATTCTGATTTTTAGAGTTATTGCCCTTGACTTAGTAAATATTTGCAATTTTTAACTTGTGTCAAATGTAGCTCATAAAACATTTGCCCTAGAGTCATGAAACTTTACAGGAATGTTGATCAGCATGTGTTATTGTGCAGCTTGGTATTCTCATGTGGATATATTTAGTCTTTTAAAAGTTATTGCCCTTGACTTCGTGAACATTTACGATTTCCAACTTGTGTCGCTCGTTACTCAAAAAGTATTTGTTCTAGTGTCATGAACCTTAGCAGGAATGTTGCGCAGCCTGTGAAGTTGTGCACGTTGGGTCTCACTTGTTGGTTTATTCTGTATTGTTAGATTTATTGCCCTTGACTTAGTGAAAACTGTTCCATTATGTTTAGTTATTTGTTCCTCAAATACTTGAGTAAGAATCAACCAACTTTACAGGAAAAATATCAACATCACTGTGAAGCTATGCACCTGGGGTTTTGCATGTGGAGTTTCGTCAGTTTTGTTAGAGTTATTGTCCTTGACTTAGTATAAATTTGCAATTTTCAACTTGTTCATGCATAATAACTCAAAACATATTTGACCTGTAGGTCTGACCGTTTACAAGAATGTCAGTCGGCCATGTACTTATGGACCTTTGGGTTTGCTTGTAGATTTATTCAGTATTTGTAAAGTTCTTGCACTTGACTTAGTAAATGACTTTTAGTTTTCAATTTATGGCATATGTAGCCCAAAATATATTTGACCTAAATTCATACGATTGACAAAACAGTGGAGTGGTGTGGCACCCGTGTCCTATGGACACATTTCTAGTTTTTACGTCAGGCATTAAAGCCTCAATCGGTTACATTTTTTCTATGTATAAAGTCATTTTAGATACAATTATTGCTCTAAATAGTATATAATTTATCTGCATATATAGTACATTTTTACTGCATTTCAAAAATAAAAGATAGATAAAATAAAATAGAAGATATTCTGTCTGATTTTTCATTGCAGCCAAATGTTCGCTCGTTGGATATCCGACCAACCCAGACACTTACTACTATAATCACGTTTTGAGGGCAACAATTCAAGCTAAAGTTGATTATATTAATTCAAGACATCAAGTAAGTATTCAAACGTCGTTTTTATTTTTTGCTTTGTAATATATTCATTAAACCTACAATTGCACCAAAACGCTTTCAAGGGTGGACTAAAATTTATTGTTTTTCTTTTGGCAAGCACAATGATTAAATACAATTTTACTGAGCAATCAATCGTAACGATGTTTTCACAGTAAAAGCCTAAATCAATGACTTTAGAAAAGCCGTTGCAATGCTTCACATAATATGTTAATAGTTTCTTTTATAAAGTTTCGTACCATCGCAATAAAATCTATAAGTTTAATAGTATGTGCGGGATAAGTATTTCGTGCGTTATGATGCAAATATATGATTTATACATTGTCACTTATATATCTTATTTTCATATAGTGTATTTATCTTTTGCTAGATTGAGGTGCGTTGTAACAATACAAAGCAATACGAATTGTATGCTAAGGATTCAAAGAAATACATTAGAAGATTTATGGCCAGATGTGAAAAAGGAAAGTTTAAGAAGGCAAAAAACCAGTTCCCAGTGTGTTTTGAAAGTAAGGATTTAAACGTTCTTTTATTCATGATCTTCCTAAAAATATTCATTACATGCATAACTCTGATTGACAAAAGGACCCTATCAAGCTTAAATACAGAGCTTAGATATTTGACATATATATCAGTCTAGTATTTGTCTACCAAGATTGTTGAAATCCCTTTGGTCTAAATTTCCCCATTCAGAGTGTCGTGGATTTTCTTATAATTATATGAATGAATAGAGTAACAACTTGAAGTTCATGTTCAGTCTCTTATACAATGAATGCTAAATTTGGTACGATAGATCAACAAGGAAATGCGGCGTTCTATGGACGCAAGCCAATGACAAAAGTCAGCGGCAAGGCCCCCATGAGGCCCTAACAGAAAAACAGGCCTAGGCACAAGGAGAAGAACGGACAGGATAATCATTTAAATAATACTAAAAAAAATAATTATGGCAAACGAAAAAGAAATTTAAGAAACAAAAAATTGATTAATTAATAGGCCCATAACATAAAAGGGCTCAGGGGAAGGGCACTCGAGTTTCGCGGAAGGATTGGCCATATTAAACAATAGGGGCAAAAGGGAAGATACTTACGGTAGACGAGAACAAAAAAACAAGGGACACAAACAACTGTCACCATAACAGTATAATGCAACAAAACTTACATCTCAAGAACACAGAGGGGCGCCGCCTTGGAACGGTAAATGGTGCACCAAACCTCACTCACCATGTTCCTTTAAAACGAGACATTGTGGCAACGCCGCTTAAAGGTACTCCACTGAGGTGGACTGGGAATAATTTTTTGAGATTATTACTCCATTTGATGTAGATCTATACTTATAACTTATGTGCAAAATTTCAGATTATTAGCTCGCTCCGTATTTCCAGAACGATTATTATAATAGTATTATAATAGTGAAAAATGACCCAAAATTAAACGCTTTTCACTCAAATCGGACTCAGAATAGCACAAACATATGATTTTCATTGTATTTGTTGTGTATTTCTTAGTTATATTTTATTTATATCTCTGTTTAAAGTGTTCATGTTTATATATGTGAAAAATTAAAATTTTATGTTTAGGCTTATAACCCTCAGTGAAGTTCCTTAAATGTCGTACTTACCCCTAAATGTCGCACCATTGTGGCTAAATGTCGCAACCACCGCTTTAAAGTGCAAAATCTTCAACAGCTTATAGTGTAATGCATAACCTAAATAATGAACATTTTACAGGAAGATGTGTTTTCGAGCCATCAAAGGTACAAGGAGCATGCTTTGTAATAGATGATGAAAGAAATTGTGAACGTAAACAAATTAAATTACGTAGTAGATCTTCCATACATATACAATGTGAAAAGGGATACACGTTGTTTGTGTCAGGGAAAGAAGTAAAAGATCGGGGGGAAATAACCTGCGTTAAAGGAAGCTATCCTGATTTCAATTGTACTGCAAGTAAGAAAAAAAAACTATTAATCATCTTTATGGAAAAAAAAACAACTAAAATATCTAAATTTTAGAACTTACTTAAATGTTGATGTAAATGAATTATTACTTTAAAGAAAGTGAACTATTTCTGTATTCTCAATTTTAATTGATCTCGAAGGTCTCTGTTTTAACAGCAATTACAAAAACATTCATGTCTCTGTCTTAATTTTATATAGTATAAATGTATTGTAAAGAAAGTTGTACTGTTGATAAGAAACAAACTAACACACTACTTTCTTTATTGTATATTTTTAGATGACTGTACAGCTCCAGAAGTTAATAACACAGAGTCACTGTCTGAAATTGTTTTTAAACATGAAGAAAAGGTATTTATTTGCTTATTATAAATACAATGAAAAGGTGTTAATATAATTAATGCATTGTGACATGCTTTGATGAATCAGTATTGTAGTTTTATCTCGAATTAAGGTTAACAGGTATAAAGTAAAAGTTCTAACGCTGTTAGAATCCTTTATTTTCTGACAACGTAGAGAACGTTGTTGCGGCTTATGAAAATTCACCCTTGAAATTTGCTTTTCTGATCTTACAGGTTACATATAAGTGCAAAGAAGGGTATTGGTTCAGTAAGAGTAAATTAGAAAAACAAGAAGTACTTTCTTTTGAGAGTAAATGCCATCTCGGTAATTGGACAACCCATATTCCAGAATCATGTGAACCAGGTAATTAAGAAAACAAATAACAGAAAACAGCAACAAAACCAAGTTAAATCTATTTGATATAGTATGATAATTAGAAGACAAATGGCCAAAAGATTTAACTCAAAATAATAGGGGGAAAGCAAGAGCTTTTATGCAACAGAAATAATCCCGCTTTGGATTGAATTTTTAATAAGCGGCCGTTGCGAGTTTACAAACGACATTACAAGTCTCTGAACCACTAAAGTCTACAATACGATTTGATTCCCTGGCGAATTTTATAGAATGTATGCGCTTAAAAATTATGGATGTGACTGTAGCCGTTTGTAAAACACCCTTTTTTATGATGAGATAATGTTTTAAGTCTGAAACACTTAACCAGTTATAAATGAGAAATCATTTCGTTGACAACATTCGATTTTTAAACGAATCCCAGGTACCAGGCATCCCGGAAGAGCCATAAAATTGAATATTATAGTTAACAGAAATATTATAGGAAAGATTCAAGTGCATCTAAAAACATTTATTTGCACTACCTTTGATTTGGTAAATATTCGCGACGACTTGTTTACAAACAATGTAACAGCACTGCACACCACTGAGCAAAAAGAAATCGTTGCAGTGACGTTGTTATTCGGATGCTGACTTTAAAGTATGAATATATACGTAGGTATGAAATCTGCTGAGTCATTTTTTTAAATATTTGCTTTTGAGTAACAGTGACAGCCACTGTCAAAGTCACACTTAAAAGAAACAAACACATCAGACCCTAAAAAAATAAATATAGTCTGCATGTTACGCTGATTACAATCTTTGATCAGGTTTTATGTATTTCAGTTGCTTGCTTTCTAAACGTACATACCAGCACTGAATACAACATTTATGGCACAAGAAAAGTTATCGTAAATGCTTCTTACCAATATAACAAACAAGTATTGGTGTAAGATGCAAGGACGGATATGACCTATATGATGATGCAGATTATATTTTCCACATATCTCGAAACACCTCCTTTTAACAGCAATTACAAAAGCATCATCCGAGACTATTTTTAAACATTCGCTTGTGATTTACAGTGACAGCCCTTGTCAAAGTATCACTTAATAGAAACCAACAAAATCAGACAAAAAAATATAGTCTGCTTTTTACGCTGATTAAACTTTTAATCAAGTTTTATGCATTTCAGTTGCTTGCTATCTTAAAGTACTTGCCGGGAACGAGTACAGCATTTATGGCACCGAGAACGTTATCGTAAACGATTCTTTCCAAGATAACGGTACAAGTATTGGTGTAAGATGCAAGGACGGATTTGACTTATATGATGATGCAGACACATTGATTAAAAATACAACCTTTGTACCTGAAGTCACATGCCATGTTGGAAAATGGTCAAATATACACTGGTGCAAAAAACGTAAGCTCTAACACAAATGTCTCTTCAATTCATCTACAATAGCCAATCTGACAATATTGCGTTGCAGGAAACTATCACAGAGCTATATATTATTTAAACTCTTTGATAATATCTTTACACAAGTAAAAATAAATTTTCTACCAGACAATATTTCCTGGTGTTTTTATCTTAACCTGTAAAATATTTAAAATTGAAAAATAAGATATAATTGTTATTGTAATGTTATTTCTCTGAATTAGGATGTAACATACCGACCAGATTAAATATCCAGTTCAGCAAAGATGGAGAAAACCTTACTATAAATGACACAATTAAACATATGGAAAGTGTAAGAAAAATTTCATGTTTCTAACTACTTTTAAATCAATTAATTAATGTTCTCTTTTTATTTTTAATTGTTTAGCAAAATTATTTTCGTACCATAGAACTTGCAAGTAGCACAAAATGTTAATTATTTATCAGGGTAATGATTATAATAAAATGGTGTCCGCTTTTGATACTCTTGTTACTTTAGCTGATTGTTTAAGACTCATTTCCTAGCATATTTTAAAACAGAACAAATGAGATTTAGCGATGTTTTTGTTTCATGATGAATTTGTGTTGCGTACATGAACGTTAACTCATTAATTTGTAATGTTGTTACCGTAGCGAGTTTGATCAAACGTGATAGATATATAGAATGTCTGTGTTTCTTCCAGTAAAACTAATAAAATTAAACGTGAAATAAATCATATGAACATGTACGAGTAATAAACTGCATTCTTTAAGTGGCTGTTTGTAAATGAAAAAAATGCATATATTAATCATTTTGAGCTTCTTCTTATCATTGATCAATTAAAGCATTTATCTGATGCATATTAAATAAATGCTATAAAAGTACACATAATTAAAAATGTCGGTTTTTTTGAAAATGTACCACCACATCATTCATGATAAGATATTATACCAAAAATAACTATCTTACAATACGCAGCAAGCGTTTCCTATAAACAATCTCAATATTTTTGCAGGTAAATATTATCTGTACCGGCGAACATCGAATCTCCAGTTCAATCATTAAATGTGTAAATGGTATATTTGATCCATATGGCGACTGTACCTCTGACAATGATTCCAAATCACACATATCTACGTCAACTTTGTCTACAGGTTATTAACTTTTTCCTTTCTTACAATTGTCAGATATACTTTTAATACATTTTCATGTTTCATTCTTAGTACTAATTGAAATTAACTTTAGGTTTTGTATCGTTATCTGTGGTTTGGGCACGAGTGTGGTTAAATATATGACAACATTACTAGTGAGTACAAGTAAATGGAACCGGACACGAGACTGGCTATTAACTCTGATATCAATAACAAAATTGATTAAAGTAAATATGTCCAAAATGATTGACTAATTACGTGTTCGCGTAGGAATGGTAAACATTCGTATTATCTAGATATATTTGAACTTCCTCTCTTTTTGTTGAATACATAAAACATTTATTTTACAAACTCATATAAATCATCTGCATGCACTTTATGTATTTTAATTTCAACATCAAAAGCTTCCACGAATAATATAAACACTCAACAACAAAATGAAAATGAGGCTCCCGATGATAACCTTACTGAAATGGAAGATTATAGCGATGGAATTGAAGATCACAGCAACAGTTCAGAAGGTAAAAGTTTTTTTCTTTTAAAGATCACAGCAACAGTTCAGAAGGTAAAAGTTTTTTCTTAACATATAGGGATCAATCCTAATGACATTGTACATTGATTTACAGTGTCCAGAGCTTTTGTAGTCGTCAGTCGTTTTCCACAATTTCTTAAAACAATTTCATTTTCCTCCCAAATTGTTTGCTTGATTTTGATCAAAGCTTTACAGGAAACATCTTGAGATATTATTTTTTACAAAAAGTATAAACATGATTCTTGCCTGTTGCCTAAGTTGGTATCAGGCGCTAAAAGTCGACTTTTAAAACGATATCTTTAAAAATCTTATTTTCCGAAACTACAACCACCAGAGTTATGTTTGGCCGGACACCATATTTGTCCTTTACAAAATCAAAAAAAGTTTTGCCCAGGGTATGAAATAGTCCGCCCTAGATGTAACTTAAGTTATATAGACTTGTATAGTAAAATATCTTAAATCCTGGTGCTTTTATTTTATTGTACATATTGGTCTTCCAGTTAAGTGATTAAAATCATGCCTTATCATTTTGAAGCACGTTTAATCAATTTTCTTTTAAAATAATTGTCGTCTTCTATTTATAATTTTCTGTATGGAATAATGTATAATGACATCTAGTCCATGATTGTCTAGTGTGTCCTGTCTTGTACGGATATTTGCTGAGCTCCTTGCCGTTGGTTCTATGCTTTTGAGTTGCCTTGAATGCCGTTTTTCCTTGTTAAGCTTTTTTCATAGAAGAAGGGGAAATAATTTATGTCTTCTTTCGTGGAATAACCATTCCAAGAACTTAAATATTTGACATGGGTAATTGCCTAGTAGACCTCAAGTGGATAAACAGTTTCAAAAAAGATACGACATTTTGACATTCATACATAATGTCAGTGTTGCTGCCTCTTAACCTTGAAGCAAGGAAACACAAACCTGAGTTCTAAACATTGAATATTATTATGAGTATTAGTACTGTGAAGTAGTTTCAATTTCCTAACATTGGTCCAAAGGTTATACAACGGACAATGATTCGCTAACGGACAGATGAATAATCACGTACAAAACATTAAACGTCGACATGTGACGTATTTAGGGCGTTTTAAGATATTTATGAAAGAATCAGGTAGGATTTATATCTCATGTTCATTTTCAGACTGAATAAATATATATATTTAAATGGTTCTCATATTGTTAACTTTAAGCAAGCGATAAAAAATGTGACCAGTTTTCATTTGACTGTCTTTGTGACTGCTTGTTTGTAGCGCAACGGACTCGGAAATAACATTGATAATAATTTACCCAGTTTTCATTTGACTGCCTTTGTGACTGCTTGTTGTAGCGCAATGGACTCGGAAATAACATTATTTGTTATAGACCCTTATAACCCAATAAATGTTTTAATTATCAACAGTTACGAATAATAAAAAACAATGCTTTTACACATTGATATTTACTAAAACTTTGTAAAGATTAGTCCAAAAGGACATAGCAAATTAATGCAGTGAATTTGACAATGTTTTTATTATTACGTTATTCTTGTTGGACAGTGTTTAGTCAAGATATATTTAAAATGCGGAACCAAAATTACAGCAATGACATTTTTTTCATAACATTTATAGCATTAATCAGTTTAACCTGTTATCTTTTTGTTGTTTTTGTTGTTTTGCCGCGGCGTCCACAGCTGATTTTTTCAGGTAGGTAACTTGCAAGCATCTGTCCCTCACCGGTTTCGATTTGAATCCAGCCACACACTTTGGAGTCTACGTGAGTTGAAGCTATCCGTCTAGCTTACGGAATGTCGATGATTCTACACAGGTGACCGATGGTGCATGAAATAATGCCCGGGGCGGTACCTGACCTGAGATCTTCCTCCATATGGAAAGCTTGTAAGTCGCCACTACTATGTTAATGCAACGTAAAATAAACCTTGTTATGTTTTGTTTTTTATGCATCCAGGATGCAAACTTTCTGACGACGAACGATACACGTATTGGAACACGAACGGAGATGAAATCAAACCGGGAGATAATGTGAGTGCGTTTAATTAACTATATTATCTTATCAAGTAAATAATTAGTTTTAGACCTTTATAATTTTTAATAAAAGACATAATCATAAGAAGACTGCAAAAAAACGTTCGAATGTTACCATTATTACCATTTAAGTTCATTGTAGACATACAATTTAATCTGTCATTTTTTCTTCTTCTAAATAATCTGGCGATGTTGTAATACGTAAACAATTACATATCGGCAATGTATAACAACTTAAATGTTCTTCCAACAGTTTTAATGTTTAAAATTTAGAACTTAAAATCAGAATATTGATTTTCAACTCATTAAAAATATTTGACACGACATTTTTATTATTTTTTCCCTTTCGTTCTTAATATTCGCCTTCCAGATGGGAAGGGCGGGCCGTGCTTAAATCTGTCTTTTCTCTTAGACGCGATCCTGCTGTTATTCAAAATATTATTGTTATATTATAATGACATTTAGAACCTTAATATGTAGCAATATGGAAATGTAAAAAAAACAACAAAAAAACACGTTGGAGAATCTTCACGTACTTTAAACTGTAATGATATTTGGTAATTCTATTACGTTATTAGGACTTATCTTTCATTTTACTAATAAGTTATTTCAAAAGTAGGTGATTTTTTATCCAATAAGGTGAAAATATCTGCAATGCGGCAATTATGTTAAGATAAAGGATATAATTAAGTCGTAATCAGAAGATGATTTACCTTTAACTAATTCCTATTTAGAGAATATTTTATATTCTATAGATAAGTGGTTATTTTATCATAAGTCAATGGCAATAACTCTAACAAAACGGGACAAAAATCCACATGCAAAACCACAGGTGCATACCCTAACAGTGATGTTGATCATTATTCCCGTAAAATGGTTGACTCTAACTCAAGCACTCAAGGAACGATTTTTACTAAGTCAATGGCAATTACTTCTTTCATACTTGATAATTCTTCAAGCGGAACCCCAGGTGCACAACTACTTATGCTGACCAACATTCCTGTTAAGTATCACGATTCTATGTTAAATTCCTTTTGAGCTACGTACAGCACAAATTGAAAATTGCATAATTTCACAAAGTCAAGGGCAATAACTGTGGCAAAACAAAACAATTCACAGGGAAAACACCAGGTGTACAAATTCACAGATGTTTGCAAACCTAGGTCAAATACTTTTTGAGCTACGTGCGACAGAAGTCGAGAATTCCAAATGTTTACTTAGTCACAGGCAATAACTCTGGGAAAACAGAATATATCCACACGTGTGGTGCGAAATGAAACATGCTGAGCCACTTTCCTGTATAGTTTTGTGTGTGACACTAGGTCAAATATCTATTAAGCTACGTATGACACAGTTGAAATTTGCAAATTCTTACTAAGTCAAGGGCAATAACAAATACTGAATAAATCCACACGAAAAAACCAAGGTGCGCACTATACATGCTGAATCATGAAAATGTCATGACCCTAGTTTAAATACTTTTTAGCTACGTGAGACACAAGTTTAAAAGTGCAAATTCTACAACTTGCAAACATTTACTCTGACAAAACGGAACAAATTCACAAGCAAAACAACAGTTACACAATTTCATATGCTAATTAACATTCCTGTAAAGTTTCATGACAATAGGTCAAATACTTTTTGCGCTACTTGCGACACAAGTTCAAAAATGCAATATTTTACTTAGTCAATGGCAATAACTAACAAAACAGAATAAATCCACAAGTCAAACGCTAATGCTGATCAACATTCCTGTAAAGTTTCATGACTCTAGGTCAAACACTTTTTGATCTACGTTCAACACAAAATGAGACCAGACGGATGGATGGACAGACAAGGGTCAATCTAAACATCGTTATATATAGAATTTTTTTTTGTTTCAAATCTTAGTGATTTTTGATGATGCATTTAAAGTAACTCAGTACAAGATTTCACGTTTAAAATTATGAAAATTAAGTTCAACAGGAAAAGGATCACGATAAGCAGTATGAAACTTTATCCAGACTTTGGATATGTAATTAATGCGACAGCATGGAATAAACGGCCTAAATACTGAACAATAATAAAAAAATTAATGAGAACCTTTAAATGAGCAATAAGAAGGAATCAAAGCAGAAGATGGTAATGCGAAATTAAAATGAAAGGTATGTGAGCAATACGGCAAACATAAATTAACATACACTGATACAAATTGAGCTTAATTGAACGTTCAGTTTTATTAGTCCCCTACCAGTTTACCCTCCGTCCGTCTGTCCGTCCGTCCGTCTGTATGTCCGTCTTTCAGTCCGTCAGTTCGTCCTCAAAACTGGATCCCGCGATAACGCAAACAGTACTAGAAATATTTTATAAAACTTGAAATATAGGTAGATGGCAGACTGGAGATTATGCACGTATTTTTTGTTCTTTCTATGTTGAAAAGTCTAGTTGCTATGGCAACAAATAGACTGAAAATATGGCAAATTTTACACATTTAATGTATCCAGTGATAACGCAAAAAGTACTGGAAATATTTTTATGAAACTTGCAATATGGGTTGATGGCAGTCTGGAAATCATGCACGTCTTTTTCTTTTCTTCCTATATTGAAAATTCTGGTTGCTATGACAACAAATAGACTGGAAACACATAAACTGGATCTAGTGATAATGAAAAAAGTAATAAAAATATTTGTATGAAACTTAAAATATGGGTAGATTGCAGTCTGGAGATTATGCATGCCTTTTTCTTTCCTTCCTATGTTGAAAAATTGGTTGTCATGGCAACAAATAGGCTTAACAAAACCTTAAAATGTGGATTGATGGCAGTATGGAAATTATACACATCATTTTAATCTTGACTATAGGGAGTATTACCTAACAAACGTCGGCAACCTCGTCAAGATTTCTGATACTAGTTTTTAGGCTTTTTCACTATAAGTTCTTTATTTCATAAGGTAATTATTTCAATCTTTAAATATAAGTTTCTGGTCATCAACCACAGCATATGTGACAATATTTACAACTTTAGCACACAAATCAGAATTGCCTTCTTTGAACTTAGAATTTTCATGAAAAAAATGTTTTTTAATAACTTCTTTATTTCTTAATGTATCTTCTTCAAACTTCATATATATGTTTCTTATTATCAATCAACATTTTTGAGAAGGTTAAATACTCTAGCAAGACTATTTCCAGAATTATCTCCCCCTTGAACTTAGATTTCTTTCGAGAAATTGGTATATTTTACTCCAACTTCTTCATAACTTATAGGATTTATTCAAACTCCCACATCATAATAATATGGCTAGGTTATAAGTCTCAGAATTATCTCCTCCTTCAACTTGATTTTGTTTTATTCTGTTAACTTTCTTTTACTTCAAATTCAAAATAAACATGCATTATCAACACCTTCATTACTAATTGTTCTTTGTTACACTCACATCATGTATGATGTCTTGCATCTTTATTCAAGAGTTATCTCCTCTTTAATATGTTGTTTGCTTTTAAAAATTTTATATTTTGGTAACAGGGATGTTTAAAAAATTAACTTTAAAGTGCGCTTTAGTCCATCTGTCTGTCTTTTCACAAAACAAAAAACTGTTTCCTGTGATCACTTTTAAAGAACTTTTCCAACAAATTTACTTAAAGTAGAAACATAAGTGAATGGCCAATGGCTCAGAATGTTGCTGGGATTTTTACCGGTAGGGAACTTATGGATTGCTGTCAATACTACGATAATCGCTTGTACTTTATAGCGTAAAATCGGCTATTTTCCAATATTTTGCCTATGTTTAAACGGGACCAAAACCATGTGAGTCATGCGCTCTTGATATAGCCTGCTTTTACCTATGCGCAAAACCGCCTCCGTGGTCGATGGGTTAGAGTCGATGACATCTTATCCAGTTACCTCTCTGGTGTGGGTTCGTTCCCCGGGAGATGATTTGGTAGTTTAGCGGGGAGGTAGGTAGTCTAGTACTGGTGTAACTCTTCAGGAACGATCGTTAGGAAACTATCCGCCTATATATACGCAACATATTATACAGGGCCTGGTAAAAAAAAAGAAAAAAAAAGATCGCCGATTTGGCCTATTTGTCAAAAGAGTCATGTACTCTTTTCATAATTGCATAATGGATTCAGGGGCTTTTATCGCAGCAACCAAGTACCTCTGCCGGAAATACGGCGCTAATCTTGGTTGTTACTCTTTCTAAGAAACAGACCGTTTTCAATGTAAACACATATATGTCATCTAGTTTAATACTCCGATTAACTTATATTTGTTTTTGAGAATAACGTTTAGTGCCGTTTTTTGTACAGTTGTGTGCTTTTGTTGTAAATTCACAAATAATGCTCTAAATGCCGGTTCTGCCTAAAACGGTTGAGAGAGAACCGCTTGTCTGATAGTAGACTTGGTTTAGGCTTCGTAACTTGTAATTTAATGATTCGCCCTAATGTTATACAGTACGTTTGCTAGGATCCAGTTTGGGATAAGTGATAATGACATAATTAGAGGATAAAATAAGGGTATTGATCTAGTGTAAGTTCAGTACTAAATTTATTGAACGAGTTGACTAGGATGATATTGCGCGAGCCTCTGGCAAGCATAGCATAATATTAATTATTCAATGAATTCAATAAATTTCAATAATGAACAAACACGAACATAATATTGTCTTTATCACGTACCCAAGATAAAGGCTGTTTGAAGTGAAAAAAGTTACATGTTTTCATTTACGCGCCAATTGTCTCTAACATACTGATTATTTAATAAATACATCATATTTTAAGGCTGTTCTTTGAAAATGCTCCTTTTAACTTTTATTTTATGTTGATACTCTGTTTGTTTCTTTAAAAGAAAAAGACATATTCATACTCTGTTCACTTGGTGTTCAAAAGTTGATACAGCTACTTATATGTGTTTACGCAAATCTTGCATATTGTACCTTTAATATCAGACTATGTAGCAATAATTATCAATATTTTCAAAAATGAGCATAATACATCTTCGAAAAGTAATCAAATGCAAAATGTTTTATTTTCTGCATGCATTATATATGGCCTTATGACGTTTCACTATTCTTTATGAACTATTTCTAAAGAAAGTCATCCTGTTCTTTCACAAAATCCGAACAAAAGAAAGAATCTAAAATACAATTCATTTAAATTGTTTTTAGCTCGTTTAGAAAAGAATATCTATTAAGCATTGCCTAGGAACACGGACTGTAATTAAAATACAAGTAACACATAGTTTGACCAATAACTTATGTAACTTTTAAGTAATTATAATTGGTATTGAGGTGATATTGATTATCGTTGTTCTGGTTCCCTTTCCTCCATGTCCTCCGTCAACAAAGACTTGATGCTAGCATACATGGCACCATATTAAATTTGGTAACAAATGAAGGGCGTAGACCTACTTCAGCAGAGGCGAAACAAATGAAATGTGTGACACTCTTTCAGTCGTTACCTCTCTCATTCGTTAAGGTTTCGAACTAACGCTTAATACCCCTGCTCTTTTTTTCTGTCGCTAATTTAAAATCATTTTCGGAGTTTCTGAGGCTCACGTTTTGTCTTGGGTAGAGTAATCTAATTTTTTTCTTGAATTAATAAATCTTAAATGTTAAGCTTTGTTAAAACTATTAAAATTCGACATTTAGTTCGGCTCTGTTCAAAGTTGTAGGCCCCGGAAAAAATAAAACGGATACGTTAAATATGTTGAGTTGGAAAAATACCGTCCAAGAGCACAAGAATTTCATGATTTTTTTGGATTGGATATACATCGTGAATCTAAATTAAAATTAAATTTAATGCTATAATAGCGACAACGCACAATATTTTCGTGTTATAAAGTTTGCAGATTCCCTCGGAACCGATGGATCCCTCGCTCTTTTCGAGCACCAACCGTTCCTCGGGACTCTGCAGAGTGACGTTATTACACGGAAAAACGTGCGTTAACACTTTATAGTGTTATAATTAATCAATTTTATATCCCATATTGTGTAAGTTCTAAATATAATATAGATAAATCAAGCATGTAAGAAATATGAGGACAACATTACACTAACCCTTATTGGTATAGAAGGAGATTATAAGGCATACATACGTTTTTAAAACAAAAAATGTATTATACATTAGTGTCGAGAATAGTTTATTTCATATTAAAATTTCAAAACACATATTTTTATTTATTTCAACAGATTGTTGCTGGGGACATATTGACGGTGAAATGCAGATTCATTGACATGTACACATTCATGACGTATGACTACGATTACTACAATGATACTGATACGACTGCTGATAATATACCAAATTCTGATGATATAACAATTTTTTGCAAGAATGATCATTCAATGACAAAAATAACAAAAGAATGTTATGATGGTATGTCTCAACAGTAAATTTGTTTTTTTTTTTGTTAAATAAATTAGTGAATCAGAAAAGTAATAAGGTATTATATTTTAATTTTCTTTCTTAACGCAGCATGACATTTTGACTACAATAATAAAGTAAATTTGCATGATTTTAGATAGCCTCAACATAGAAGACTTAAATAGAAAATCCTTGCATAAATTTATGCACTAGCAGTCCTCACAGTAAATCTATTAAACTTGCTTGCTTATCAATGTGATAGCTTCCGAATCAAAGTAAATAATTGTGTTATTGTTATTTTGTGAATACGAAGATTTTGAATAATCATTTAAACAAACTGAAATTGATAATGGTGAGTTGTTTCAATCATAAACAAGTAATGTACATTGTGTGTCTGTTTTTGTTTTCTTGTCTATTTGGCTGTTTGTTATTTTTGCTTTTTATGTATATTTTCATACGACATTTTTAAAAAAATACGAATTGTAAGGATTATTTTTTCTTTTGTATTTAAGCGACGAAAGATAAAAGCTGTCTGCAGATTGATAACGGAAATGTAATTATATCAAACAGCTACTACGTTGTGTCCTGTGATAAGGGATTCTCATTAGATATTTTTGAGCCAGAGGAAAAAAGGAGCAATTGTATTGACGGTAAATTAAAAAGTGTAATCGGAGGTCAGGAACCAGAATGTATACCAGGTACATTTTATGTGTATTGTTGCAAGAGGTCACCTTATCTTTTTTTTCTTATTAAGATTTTGACCATATTTAAAAAAAACATAGAAGGGAGATTTTAAATGTGTTTACAGTTTTAGGAAATAATTGCATTCCGTGGCTTTTATAGCAAGAGTTCTAATTGAGGTATAAAAGCTTTTAGGTTTTGTTAATATTCATTAACATTTTATATGTATTATTGTTCGAGTTCACCTAAACAATCTTATTTTCTCATTAAGATTTTGACTATAAAGAACCATGGAAAGGAGTTCTGTGTCTGTGTTTACATTTTAAGTAAAAAAATGCATACTGTAGCTTTTAAAACAAGAGTTTAAATTGAGGTATAAAAGGTTTAAAGTTTTGTATTTACCCAAATTAATAAGTTTGATCAACATAATCATTTTCAGTTCAGTTCGATGGTGATAATATGTTTGGTATGTGTCGTTTGTTGTATAACCGCCACATTAAACAAAGTTTCATTTCAAAGGTTAAAGCTTTATCGTATACAACCATTTCGACTGTTGTAGAACAAAGATAATTAAATAATGTATTTGATTTTTTTTTCATTACGTCGTTTTTGCAGATCGTTGTAAAGTACCATATGACTATGACACACTCCTGTCAATATCTGACAGATCTCATGTTAGTCTCTCTGGAGGCTCTGTTGTTGCGGTGGGGGACTTTGTTTACTTCAACTGTTCAAAGACAGGAAATGATATGCACGAACCTGTAAACAGAAGATTCAAGTGTATAAACGGCCAGTGGATTGAGGATGAACGAGATAAATCATGGAAGTTTGGAAATAACGGGACTTTCCCGAAATGTAGAAAAAGTAAATACATTCCTTTATTAAAACTATTGTTATTATAAAGCATATCTCAGGGCACATTTTTGTATTTAGCAATTTTGTTTGCGTATTATTTTTTGGCAAACATTTATTAATCTTGAAGTAGTTATTGTGGAATATTGCATAGTTCGAGTGCGCAAGATACTTTGCTATCGTTCTCCATCCTAATATTCTTGTAGAAAAAAAAAATGTTTAACTACCTTCCTTAGTCTTTATTACGTCATTTTGTTAACTGGCGTCACATGTTATATAATATTACTGGTAAGCATAATGCATATATTGTGTAATTGCAATTTGACCGTCCTGTCCATATTTATATGTACTGTGAAGCGTGTTAAAAGTAATTAGACGGCACGTAGATAAATAGTTTACTTATTCCTTACTTCAAGTATTAATAAACTTCACACAACTGCCAATGTTGATTATTGTATATTATATAGACTATTTGTAGATAAGTGGATAAGCAGATCTCCATTAACACAACGAAATGCTAAATAGTAGAACCATCTATGCTTTTTTATACAAGGGTTTATCCGTCGTTTTTATTTTGTTGTTGTTTGTGGTTGTTGTTCTTTTTTGTTTTCAATGAAAAATTATCCTTGTTTCCTTTTAACACAATCAGCTTTATGTTTATGCAGAAATTATGCGTAAAGTATAGCTTGTGAAACATATATCAGCTTAAGTTTCGCTTAAAACCACATTGGCGATTCCGGAAGGAATGCATAAGTCTGTCAAAATTGTTTTATATGTACATTTTTTCTCAAACAGAAATGTAAGATACTCTTTGGTTTCATTTAAGATTGTCAAACAAGTCATGCAATTATCATAAAGTTCAAGCAATATTCAATTTATAAATGCTTTCGTCTTTAATTCAGGTCTACATGAATAAAACAAGTAAGACGCCTGTTTGATTTACATTCGATTTGCATTTTCATTGGTTAAAGGGGTCAAATTCCTTCAAGCAAAAATAACGCAGTTATTATGTTAAAATCACTTTTAAAATCACTTTTTGGTTTCATTGTATCTGTTTAGGGGAGAAAGTGAAACAGAAGATATATGTTTAATTCATATCGTAACAATGATTTTCTATATAGTTCGTTAAGACATCTCACTTTTAATGCTTAAAGTAGCACAATTGATGAGCATTATCAAACTTCCATAGTTTTAAAATAGCTCAGTAAAAACTTGCAAAGCATTTCTAATCGGTACAAGCTTCTTTTGATGTCACTTGCAAGGCTGATTAAGAGCTATAAATGTTCCTATAATTTTATGGTTCAGTACGTCAAAAACCTTGGGCAGTCAACAATGCTTCTTTAATTGGTCGAGAGATATTAATCAAGATAAGAGGAAACACACACACCTAACAAATAATCATTTCTATTTATGAAGAAACCCGTTTTTTTTTATCTCATTACATATATTATAAAAATGTAATTTGATGTTATTCAGCAATGTGTGAACCGGAGTGTGAAAATGGAGGTGTTTGTGTGAGGGATGGTGAATGTAAATGCAAGCATTTTACATCAGGAAAACATTGTGAAAACGGTAAATATAAGAATATCTTTTTTTAAAAACAAATATATAAATCTTGACGAACACTGTATCCGGTAGAGCTCTTTTGTGTATCATATCCTTGTAGATTATGATAATATATATTGATTCTAAAACCTTTACATATTGTTTTGAACGAATTCTTAATAAGCATGTCATGTGAACGTTTGTGATTTATCGGTCTTTTCGAGGTACGAATTGTGTTCTTTTCGTTTCAAAATCGTAATATCTCAAAAAAATCAACCAAGTCGATATTTTGATTTATTTATAGCTCATTTGTATAATGTGTAAACATTGCAATGTTGTTTACTTCAATTTTTGACATGTACTTTAAAAATTTAGTTCTATGTGATGATAAATGCAAATCTAATAACGGTGAATGCGTTGGTCCTGGCAAATGTAGATGCCCGGAGGGGAAATTCGGAACTAACTGTGAACATAGTAAGTATATATGGTGGAAATATAGTATCAGCTAAGTTCTCTTATAGAAGCTAGTAGAAGATGAATTATGAAAGTCTAATAGTTTTAAATAAGATAATATAAAATACTTGAAAAGAGTGATAATGCGGATCAAAAGGCATAAAACGCGAAACAAATGGCGAAATAAGGCGAAAAAAGGATAATATCGAGAAACAAGATGAGTAATAACGCGAAACAAGATGCAATATTATAACGCGTGTAATGATCAAAAATCCTAGTTAACCAGGAACAAAAGTCGTGATATAGCTAATTCGATACCATATCAATGCTAATCATATGGCATTGTTACGAAAGAAAGGATAACAATAAGATCTAGATATATGTGCTTCACATTTTCAATTATCTACGGATACGTTAAATTGTCTGAATTTATTTCTCTTATTAGAAAATACTTACCAAGGTAGAAGTTAACTGTCATCTACTTATAACAAACTTTAATCTAACTTGAATGGTCTATAATGTTTTAACATTTATGTTATTACTTTATTGCATTTGCTATGGAATTATTAGGAAATAATACTCATATACTCTTAACTTAACTTTGACCTTCTTAGTAAAATCAAGTTAATTAATAATTACGTGATACTATTACCTTATAACATGATAAAATCTTCCTATTGGTAATAACGTGATTGTGTGTCCTATTTAGGCTACAAAGGTGAACGTTTATCTTAATTATGTGATAGTTACGCCTAAAAAGGGCGATAGAGTTTAAGTTAAGTCATAATAAGGATACATAACTTCTTTGTATGTTAAGTTGGTGATAGTATCTCCTTATAAAAGACAAAACAAAAACACACAGACCGTAACATGTGGAGGTATCCGTAGATAACTTAATATAATTATGGTGCTAACAATTTATTCAGATCAGTATTGTTCTTCCTTTCTCACGTAACTAGGCCACTTGATAAACATTGAAATGGTTTTGAATTAGCGAAATATTATAACTGTTATATGTTGCGGTTCAGGTCTAAACATCCTTCCGGAGGGGACCCGCCCATTAACGGTAACGAGATACTTTATTACAATTCCAATCCGTATCGCATATTTATGCTTGCATATTGTACCATATTTCCTTTTATTTAAAATTATTTACCTTTATAAAACAGTTTTCCATTGATATTTATGTCATTACACCCGTAACTATTTAGTTACAACAGCGTATGGAATTACAACTTCATTCATAACGGTAAAATTAAGCAAGCGTTTGTATAACACTCGACTTCTCTGGCATCCCCCACATGCCACAGATGAAATTTCCGGATTTCAGTCTAGTCTGACATGCAAAAACAAGGTTTTTGGTTCACGTTATAATTATTTTTGTTGTGCGTGATAACGTCTCTTGGTTCGCTTCTTGACGTCATTATAATTAGCGTTATAACGCATATTTGTGTCGTGTAACGCCGTTTGTGTATACCGTGTTATGCCATTCGTTTCAACATAATTAGCGTTATTTTTGTCACAACGTCTGTTCTTTTGTGATATTACAGCTTTTTATTTTATCTAATTTGAAACTGTTAGTCTTTCGTTATTAATCAATGAGTGAATCTTTAAATTTCAGATTTGATCGATGCGATGTTTATCTCTTTGTCTGCTTGTCCTGTTTACTGAAAAGTTTGATACATTTCATAAAAAATATAAGAATATGAATATATAGAAAACAAACTTTTCGGATGTATTGTGGTTACAAAATGCTATTTTATTTTTGTCAATTTGGACGGAAATTAATATCTGAAATGTTTTTTTATCACATGATAATAGGTTCCTGTAGACTTCCTGAAATTGAAAATATGGCAAAGTTAAACACTCCAAGAACTTATTATGATATTGGCGAAACAGTTCGCGGTTTCACGTGTAGTCCTGGATATTTTTTATCATCCGATAAGGGAATGACATGCCAGAATAATGGAACATGGTCCGATGTTATAACGTGTGTAAAAGGTATTTGTTAAAATATGCATAAACGTCTTTTATATTGTACAAAAATATATAAAAAAAATGAAATACGTTCAGAAATAAAATTGAACATTAAAATTGTTATGACTTTTGAGATTACATAGGCAATTATTACTTTTTTATTGTTAACAAAAATATGTGATAATAGAGCTCTGAAAAATATGTTTTGACTATATTCATATGCAAATATTTATCATATCAATAGTGATGTTGTAGAAGTTATTTAATTACTTCCCAACATCCAGTTCAATTTTCAATCAACATCTAGAGATTTGTTGTATATGGAATGGCAACCACAACAGTTGTTTACATTCAAATGTATTGCTAACTACGAATACATAGCTTGAAAAAATATTTGACTAACCGTCAGACGAATCTAACATAATTGCGCAAGCTGTGTTCGAGTTTAGATATATATCCCGATAAATGCATGTTTAATTTTAAATAATTGCTTATTCTTGAATGAAACTTAATGGAAGAAATATAAAATATCATAATTATTATGGTTGAACGGTCGTTTACATCCGAACAATTCAGAACAATATATTTATTGTGCGATTGTCATATTATTTTCCCAATGACGCTTTCAATGCTCCTAGAAGGTTTCATTTGTATAATTCCAATGTTCAAGATTTTTCTTGCATATCAGACTAGCGTTTCCGTGAGTTTTACCCATGCCGGAAATTTCATGCTGCGCCACTCGTGAAATATACCTTTTGGTGCTCACTCGGTGAAATATATTCCGATCTTACACTGAACTAAACAAATATCCTCTATATAATTATTATGGTTTAACGGTCGTTTACATCCGAACAATTCAGAACAATATATTTATTGTGCGATTGTCATATTATTTTCCCAATGACGCATTCAACACTCTTAGAAGGTTTCATTTGTATAATTCTAATAGTCAAGACATTTATCGTTAACGTTTCCTTGAAAGAGACATACTCAAAAAAACTAAGTATATATTTAGATTAAAATGGGACTGTACATAGTCCAATATAAATATCAGTGATGAATTTTAAAAACATAAAATGGATGGTAAAAGCTCATAAAGGTCAGTGCTGGCGGGCGTTGACATCAGATTGCACTTGCCACTTCAGAAAATAAACAAGCAAACCTTAACACAGTCTGCAACCATTTTCAATCTTACCATTTTAGGGGTACTTGAAGGATTCCGTTTTTCTCTGTTAGATACAAAACTGTTTTGGTTTGGTCGAAGTTGTATTGTTCTTACTCATACCTCATGCTAACAGAATATCAATGGGGTAACTGTCTATAACAGTTTATAACAATTACTCGATACACTCGTTGACGATAGAAGATGTTTCATTCTTTTTATCACTTATTAGATATGCCTTTACTATTTTTCAGAGTTAGCACATCGTTTTTTTGTCATATGACTTTCTTTTAAAGGGGCTAGATATATCATTCATAGCTCGCAATTATTTCATACAATATTCGCAAAATGTTATGTCTTCTAAAGCACATGAGTTGTCTTTTACGTGGTGGTAAAGTTGTTTGTTTACAAACAATTGCAAACTTCTGTCGGAAACCTATGAGGCTATGAACTTTGTGAAAAATAGTTTTTCTTCTGCGTTCCTACTCAATAAGCTTTTCATAATAGCGAATTTTAAGTTTGTATCTCAAATACCTTTTTAAAGTGGCATTATGCGCATTTTTCATTGTCAAATTGACTTAAATTGACTATGTATTTCAATAAACTGGTCGTCATAATGGTTATTGACCAACACATGATATTTGAAAATGTTTAGGGTAAATATACCTCAAAATATAAAAAGACTACGCCACTCTTTTTATAAATTGAAAGTTATTGGTACAGTCCGACGGATAATTACACACATTTCACAGGGCCTAGTGAATATGTATCGTTCATGTAAAGTAAATTATACAATTTTAAGTAATTATGAGAAATTGTTAACTTATTTTGACTTTCTCCTGTTCACTCTATATTTACCCATGGATGTCACTTTATGTACCGCTGTGGTAAACGTTTAAACATGGACAATAAGTTTACAAGTTATTATTAAAAGAGAGGTAATAATTCCCTCGAATTGCACTATTCCTCAGAGGGATGTATCGAGGATAGAACAATAATACCGCAAATACCTTAAATTAAAGAAAAAAAGAACAACACACACAACTACACAAAAAAGGAAGGGTTGCTATCATTAATTATTTTAGAATTATGCTCTGGCCAAACTGTTTGATGAAAGAACGGTGACTGATTTCCTATCCAGGTTCGTCAGTTTCGGAGGAAATTAAAGAAAAGACATTTAAAGTCACAAAAACAATTGTGAAACATCTAGGTTTCTGAACAATGCTTCAAACATTACATATATTGAACTTTTAGATTTAAAACGCGTCTAGAAAGTTCCAGTCCAGCATATGATACAAAATCGCAAACGTTGTATAAAATGAGATTAACAAATCCTCTACCTACATTCCTGAGTAAAAAACGTTATATAATGCAGTTTATTTTCCAAGAGAACAAAAGACATGCTGTTATTTAATGTGACTTTTTTGGATATATTGCTTTTTGATCACTTCCTTTAGTCGGTGTGTATTTAGCAATATATTATGTTACATTGATTTTCATGAAAATATACCGAAACACTAATATTTGCAACTTTTTCCTTTATTAGATCTTAATTATTGTTTTGTTTAAATAATTTAATTTCAATCTACAAAGTTGTGTCTCCATTTGATACTCATCATAAAAAGGACAGGATTTACTCTCCTACCCTGGCACTTTTGCTGTAGAAATGTTTATATATATCTTCCAAAAGTATAAAAGTTTACTTTCAGTAAATAAAATTTTTGTTCGTGATAATCATGCAATTCCTCTTTTATCAGGTATAAGATATCTAATCAGTGCGAAAACAGGAACACGTCCGGGTGCTGGTACAAATGCTAATGTATACATCACTTTGTCCGGATCTGGAGGAAGTACAAGAATAATAGACTTTAAGGGAGGCTTTGAATCTGGCGATGTCGATGAGATAAGAGAATTGGCTAAAGACATACGTCCCGTTCGTTGCATTTTATTCATTATATAAAGCATTTGTAAATGTAGTTCATACTTATAGTAACACTATGATTTATTTTTCCACGAGATTTTGTTGATTTGAATAATGAGTTATACGCAACTAATTGTTTACCCTTGCTTATCATATCGGAATATAATGAAATTGTTCGTCCGTCCGTTTTTCTGTGAATTCTGTCCGTTCTACCGAATTCATCTGTATGTCAGAACCTATTTGGCAATTATTTTCATAAAACTACATGAATGTGTTATCCTTTTATAAGTAAACGATGCTCTTTTATTATCATTGTGATATACAATTGGTTTTAAACATTGTATCTAATGGCCTTTGTTCTCCCACCGCTGATTCAGAAACAATGTAAAATAAGTAGTCGGTTACTTGCGGATAAAAGGGATTGCTGAGTATCAATAAAACCGATAACGTGGACCAACTGCAGACATATGACCAAACAAATTTGTAAAATCGCCGGTTAAACAGAAAACATCAGACTTGTGTGCTTTACTGTTTCGTATTTTTGATTTATAGGATTCAATTACAATGCTATACGCCAGTACATTATAGATAAAAGTCACTAATTTGATTGGTTATCAATTTTAAAGATAATATATATATAGAATATCGTTAAAAATGGTTTCACAACAGTGATCTATATTATATCGAAGGGCATATCAATTAAATTGATTCTTATCTTACATATCCACAGAAGTTTTTTTTGTAATTTCAAATTAACTCATTATCAACATATTTTTCGTATTTTAATAGATACATAAAGTACAGATTGGACATGATGGTGGAAGCTGGCATGATATATTATTATCTGATTGGGACCTGGAATATGTATCAATTTATGTTGAAAATATGGAAGAGTTTTATGTTTTTAGAAATAATCGGAAACAATGGGTGGAGAAAGACAATGTTCTGACTTTGTACAGGGAAGGTAAAGGTTTAACATTGACCTTGATAATGTTATAAATATAATGCTTTTCTGTAAGAAAGTCAACTTGTTCTCTATACCTTTTTAATGTCTTTAAATATCTACCACACATCCGACACCATCAATTCTGTTTGCATAATTGTTCACTTTAACGTAATTGGAACTTTAAGAATAAATTTTTGTACGGGCAATGATATTTATTCAGTCTAATTAAGAAAAGAAATTGTATTGTTTTCAGGAAATAAAGCATGCATCAACTCGTTTGATAATGGACATTTGTGGTATCTTGACTGGGAGGAGCAGCAGCATATACCAATTGGGAACATGTCGCTTCGAACATGTAAACAAACATGCGTTAACTGGAAGGATGAAGCAACACACGAAAAATGTCTATCAGTGTATTATGATCATCTCCATACAGCATGCTATGGTTTCACCTTTTCCGACAGATTCGATCCCATGGTAGATAGGGATTGGCGTGGAAAAGTATATTTAAGAACATGTAAAAATAACAACACAGTCTAAAGGAAAAAAATAGATAGAGTTCAATCAGATAATTGTACTGATTGATATTAATGTTAATGTTCAATAACTGATATCAATATATTTTCTATTACTGTTAATGTTATAAAAATGACACTACAGAGGGTTATATCCCCGGGAGATGCTTTGGTAATTTAGCGCGGAGGAAGGTAGTCTAGTACTGGTGTTACTCTCCAGGAACGATACCCGCCTATATGACTGAAATACTGTTGAGAAAAGACGTAAAATAAAACAAACAAACTACAAAGAAATATATATTTTTATATTTTATAATGATGTTCTTGGCTCGAGTCCCGGTTGCTGTGTACCGATCTTTCGTGTGACTTTTCTGTGTATAATTTCCAGCTCATGACTTTCTTCCTTTCATATGTATACTTGACAGGTATAAATGTAATACATAAGATAATCAAAATACATTGAAGATCACTGCGGGTTTAATGTAATGTTTTATGTGACGAAATACACTCGCAGGTCCATAAAAGACACATTATGCATCAGAAACGATTTTTTCATTCTTATAAAATGTCAAACATAAATAATGATTTTATGTTTCATGCTTATTATCTGATGAAACAGAGACATGATTTCATATCTCATTGTTGGAATGATTGTAATAGTGCCGGTTAATTATCAGTGGTTCAAGCTGATTCGAGCCCAATACTCAGTGGCGCTCTGGACAGACTTTTAATATAAATGGCCTAATTACTATACGGACGACACATGATCACAAATATATATTTAAACGGCACTTTACCCAGGTTCTCTGAACCCTTAATTGCCAACCAGTGGCTAGGATGGTGGTGTTGGACGCTACCTTCAAATTACTCTTATTAAGAAAGTACAACACAAGACTTTATAAAGTTAACACTAACGATAATCATAGAATTTATTTATCAAGAGTATGCATAAAATTATATTTTAAACCAGAATCTATCAACAACGAGTTATTTATTTAAAAAGAATTTTTAAGTATTTATTAATAAGCAATCATATAGATTTAAAACAAAGTCAAAACTATAAAGTTTTGAAAGAGTGCCAAAGCTCTAAAGCTTTGAAGTGAACTGACCTGTCAGCCAGTTCCCAAGACAAGAAATATTAAAAATCACCCGGTATTTATACACTTTTGGTAGTCATGACAATGCTTAACTGTAAGATTGATTGGTCAAAATTACTCATAACAAGTTCTGAACTAATCGAATTATTTCAATCAAGACGACCAATGAAATATATAGAATTAAAATGAAAGCACCAATCAAATTAACTCTACAAAATAAGATACTGAAAATAAGCGAAAAGGGCAATAACATCTGAGCAACGTTTACTAAAATGCAGCCCTATTACAAACTGTATGCCAAATGATTAATCTATACAAGTTGAACACAATAGTATTTCCCTTCCATAAAAAGAAATTAATCACTATAACTGCAGTACATAAATAAAAGACTTAAAACAATTCGAACTTGCTCCCTTTTAAACAAATATTCTTGCATCAGATAAGTTGTCAATGTTGACTATTGACAGAACACATGCATCCATTCTATACGCGGTTATCGTACTTTTACATATATTGTACAATAGACAAAACGTCCTTATAGGTTAATAACTTGCACGATTAAGGTAACAAAGTATTTCGCGTACGGTGCAAATATTAACATTGCCACAAATTCAATGTGATTACACTTGACATAAGAATATACGTTAAGTGTTTCAAAGCAATTGCCACTGTATGCAACACAAGGTCGATTCCTATAAACCTTTCCATATATAATTATTCCTCATAAGAAGTAGTTATGTTGAACAAATGCAACAAACTCCTCACAGTGATTACCTCCCTTGGCAGAATTGTAATCACTGCCTTCACAGACGTCACATGATGATGAAAGTAAGATGACGTAACGTTGAAATTCAAATGTAAATATCGACCGTTACATAGAAAATCTATCGTCATTTCTCTCTTTCTGTTTTATTTTTTACTTTTCGTTATACTATCAAAAAATTATCAAAAGTAACCAACTTAATGAAAAATAAATTCAAACGCTAAAAGATATAAAATATCAAAATATTGATAAAAAATGTTTGAGATGACAGTGATCTATGTACTGATAAGGAGATACTGCAATGTTGATCTCCATGATTGTGGTAATAATTAACCTGGTACTCTTGAATTTTATGTGATTGTGAGGCCAATTGGAAAATCTTACGCATTTTTACATAAATTCTTGTTTTGTATGCCATTATTCAAATATTAAAGTACATGATACAATTGGGTAAGTCATAAACATGTACGAAAATATACTATAAACTTTTTATCTGGGCTTACCGTAGCTAGCTATTTCTATATTTTAAAGTATATGTTTCATTCATTTAACGTTCTGCTAAATTAATTCATTGCAGAAAAATAGTTGCTTATATTCTTTAAACTGAAGCAAATGCTAGATATATCCACTACTTCAGTTGGAAATTTATTAAACAAAACCCTGTAATAATTTAGAGCATGCATCACATGGTAGCAAATTTGTCTTACAAGCGCCTAAGAGTCCATTAACGTTATCGCGTCAACGACATGAACCATATTAAAAATTGCTCTAATTTTCTAATAAAGCTGTGTACCTCTCGAAAACTTTGTTTGACTAAATAGATAGTTGAATGTTGTTTTGTTACCATTTTTTATCTTCCTGAAGGAGATTTAAATGTATATGATTGAAACATTTTCCGGACACCTTAATAACGACGATTTTTACTAAATGTACGATAACACTACATAAATTTTTACAACATAAAAACTCTTAGAAGTTATGTATGACAGTTCTCGTTCTTTTAATTAATTTTTGCAATTGTTTGACAAAATCCTTTTTTTCAGGTACATTGTAATATCATAATCATAAATGACAACGTGCATCGCACTTTATGAGAAGCATCGCTGTGGCGTTTCAAAAATGACTTAAGGCAGACTGAAATAGTATTGTACGACATGAAATAAATAATATTTTTCGATTTAGATGTAACATTTAAAATTTGCACAGGTATAAATTTAACGAAAACGGCAGAAAACATAATCAGACTTACACTACACTACTTCCGGGTAAATCTGAATTATCCCTCGTAGTTGCGTATCAATTTTAACTTCAGTCATCATGGCAAAATAACGTCATTCTAAGAATGCAATTCAATCATATTTGCGTGGGATTTACGTCACTTTAAGCAAGGGACTTGCCATATATATTTGGGTGTAACATCCTTTTCTGCATCAGTGTTAACACAAGATATTCCTAAGAAAGTTGTTGAAAAGTGATGACATATGTTTCAATGTTGTATCCAATTTAAACTGTACAATGTTTTTGTATATTAACTCAACGTCTGCCATAATTTTATTTTATTTTATTTTTGTCATTGATAACATGAAGAAAAAATAAAATTATGGTCTTAAATTAAATGAAAATCACTTAAAGAAAAATGAATTCTTTATTTGATAATTTAGACGATATAAATGCAAATTCAGTCGCTTAATCTTTGACCTGAAATTTTGATAAGTACCTTATTCATACATCTACATATTTTTTCATCCCAAATGAAGTAATAATTACACGATAAGACTATTCTTTTGGTGGTTAATGTTTCAAAATTCTAGGGCAGAACATAAAATTAATATACGAAACATGACTACTCGTAACTTTAATGCGTTTAAATTGAAAGTTGTGCATGTCGTCTCAATTTGAAATACGTAAGACTCTTGTTTAGATAATGACTTTTAAAAGCTTAAGAAAACATTGAATGCAAAGACATACAGTTAAAACGTTCGTATTTGAACTGAGCATAACCATCAAATTGCATTTTTATTTCACACCTTTAACGAATATTTTCAACGTGAATCTAGACATGTTGGATGATGACGAAGTGTAACTTGAAATGTATATTTTAGAAGCTGCATAGCTTAAAAATGCAAGTAGTCATTGCACTTTAAAAAAGGGAACATTTGGAAAAAAATCGAATTCTTTCACCTTTAATTCAATCTTTTAATTGACGGCACCCGCTTTTAAATAACAAGTTTTGAGTTAGGGTTTGGGTTAGGTTACATAGTAGATCTTAACAACTGACTGAACATTGAAGAAAACAACACATTTACAAGTATAAGTGTTCAAACTTGCATATGCCAGATACGAACTTGTGAATTTGTTGTTGTTCTCCATGTTTGGTAAGTTGTTGAGATCTATATGTAAACTTGTTATATAAAGGTAGGACCCTTCAATTAAAAGATTGGATTAAGAGGCATACTATGTGCCATGAACGGATACGATAAAAAAGGTAGGGATACAATTGCACATCATAAAATGTAGACTTTTGTGACAACGGTAACTATGAATTATGTTTGAAATATGCACTGGGTGTCATTTGTCAAACTAATGTTTCATATTTTAACGCACAAAGATAATTAATATTTAAAGATACAGTACGTTTAAATAGAAATGTTGCTGTTAATACAATCTAGATACTTCTTAACTATTCGAGCTTATTTAAAAATGTCTATTCAGGAGTGCTGAGACGTATAAACATTCCCGACTCAACAAGTTAAATTCGCCCTTTCTTACTTTTAAGTGAGAAAAATTCAAATAATATATTGAGGGTATTCAGTCAATATGGCAAAAAGTTTATTTAAAATCTATTTTTGTATATCTTGTTAAGGTTTTAGAACGGTCTAAACTAACTATTAGAGATAAGAGATGAAACAATAGAGTAGAAAAAATGGACATATGAAAGAACTCAAAAATTAAATTTATTGATGAGTGTAATGTGCAATCTTTTACTTTTGCTTCTTTGAAAAAAGAACATCGATATAAAGATATAAACTACAAAAGCAATCAACATGAGTTAAGTGATTCCTAATAATGTTTATATGGACATTTGGTTGGTTTTATTTAAACGAGTTGTTTTATTAAAACTCATTCGGTAAATGATTTATAAGATGTAGAGCCGTAAATACAAATTACTATATCAGCTCCTTTTATTTTTTATTACTTATTGATGAACATCATTGACTTGCTCTAATTTTCTAAGAAAGTTGTGTATGTCACCACCGTAAGTATAAATCCCGCAATGGACTATTTGCTAAAGGAAAGCCATCGTAATGAAAACATATTCTTTTATTCTTACGAACATAATAAATATATCTTACTGAAAAACGAACACTTAATTTAACAATGAAGAAAGAAGATTTAAAAAATAACTGTTAAAAGTTATT